TCGTAGTATAATTCGACATCATCCTGTTCACTTATCAGCTGTATAAATTAAGTATCAAGTGATTTAAATGTAAAAAAACAGAAATTAAATTTTATTGTGGATAAAACTATCAGAAATAAGTTTCGCTGGTATTTTACTGGTAGAGTTGCCAGTACGGGAGTTGAGTTCAACTGTTTCCTAGTATGAGAGACTATCGGACCAGTAGATGAGGCGAGGACCAGGCTGAAAGTGGTGGTAGTATTCATGTACGAAGTGAAACGATGACACTGAACTAAATGAATATAGTGTTACTGTCCTGAGGTTAGACAGTGTATTGAAAAGGCGGAATCTCTCGGACACTTAGTGGCCAGTCTAGGCCTAAGTAATTGACAGGTGGCTATGGCACTGCTCGTTTCCCCACTGAGGGTTTACCACGAATCAGTCATGTCAATGTGATATGAAAATTTATGTTGAGCGGTGCACGTGTGTTGTGGTGATGCAAGTGTGTAAAATTGTATTCAGGTGCACTACACGCCTTTAGAAAAGAATTCTGGACCACTGGCCAGTAGAAACCGGCAACTGACTGCCTGGATCCTCCCTTGATGTCGAAGCCTTTTTGTGACTGTGCTATAAAATATACCCCACGGGCTTTGTGTTTGACAGTATCATACATAAAATACAAGTGCATGAGTAAACAAAATGAAAGAATCTGGGCCATAAAGGGAAGGAAAATAGTTCACAAATAACCCAACCTTTTACTGATGATTGAATGGTTCTGCACTCACAACCTTCAGCAGCCACGACCATAAAAGAAATTTGCGATATTGATCCTGACCCTTTAGTTGATGGACATTAAACAGAATTACTTCAAGGGCTGATAATAAGTAAGTTTAAAAATAAATCCAATATACCGGTACATCTCCGCTGGGCAAGGTGACCGACCAGGTGCGACCGTGCTAGTATCAACCATGGCGCAACGATCAATATTTACAGCTGTGTTTTATGCTTAATTTGGTTTTCATTTAAATTCGTTTAATATAGATTAAACGATTAAACGAATCTTATACACGCTTATTTAAATTGTTGACATTGAGGATTACTTCGTCACAAATATGTTAGTCAGAATTATATCATGGAGAGAATGAGACCAAGTTTTTGCGTTTAACAAGTGGCGGGAACCTGATAGAGTTGTTGAAGTCTTTCACTGGGCCAGTTTACCTAAATTAACGGTAATAAATATTTTACGTGGTCATGGAAGTATCGTCGATGGGGTTAAAATTATGTAACTTCATATTTTGGCTTTTGGCCGACCCTGTCTAAGTAGGAGCATGCGGGACGCGATAGGTATAAAATTTTAGTTTCGGACGACCTAAAATTTTTAGGAATTTTATCTTTGCAATAAATAGTTTAGACAATTATAAGACACTTCTTCTATGACGTTTCCCTTTTAAATTACCTTACCTAACCGGGTGCTTCTACCCCCTGGACCTCCCGTCATAAAAGTAGTTTGAGGGAAACGTCATAGAAGAACGGCGTCTTAGAATTGTCTTAAATATTAGTTGCAAAGACAAAATTCCTAAGATTTTTAGCGTTGTCCGAAAGTAAAATAATACCCCGATTAGTAGCAAATAAAACTAAGTAGTAAGCAGGAATAGTGTTGCAAGTAAATCTGGGAAACACATCAAGCCAGACTAGTAGTAGGGAGGAGACAGAATATGACCTCGCTGCCGTTGTTTTGAACGTGGGGTATATGAATTAAGCATACTAATAGCTGGTTTGTAGTAATCATGATGGTTGTTTATATCCTAGCGTCACCAGCATGCTAAATAGCTCCGTTATCGACTCTGTAGCTTGGATCACATCATCAGTATGCAACAGCCGGCATGCGACCGTTGACGGAACCCAACCTAACCTCGATGACTTGCGTGGAACGTTCAGTGTATTCATATGACGTTGATATGAATGTCATGGAGGGTACTGTATAATATTTGAGGGTATATATTAAAAGTTAGCCGAGGATATAGGAATATAACATAGTATAGGTTAGTATGGAAATATGCACCAATGAATTCCATATTTTAAATTTTAGTTGGCCGTAGGTGGAGGTTATAGGCTATTCAGTGATTTCGTTGATTGCTGAGGTTGGTTACGAATTCCTCACATTGAATTGTTTCCTTAAAACTGGGAAATTCGCAATGTTCTCCTGGTTGCGCCACTGGCTTTTCCGGTTTCATCACACTAGGAGGGGGCAGGAATGGGCAATGTGGCCTTGGTTACAGCCACAGATGAATACACCTATAACTCCCACCCGTCTGTCGAATCTACTTCAGTTTCTCATGCCGCCACCATCGGTCACGAGTACGTTTAAGTGAATAATGGGTCGGGGAAGGAGGGTTTGCTATGATTACTTCAGGAAGACTTTATTATGATTGTTGTGAATATTAGACTAATTATCAACCCCCTCCCCTCTCATCGTTCGCAGTAAGTGCATCACCTGGTCCGCTGATCCGCCCCAGCCATTGCAAGTTCGTTTCCTTGAGCTGCTAGAATAAACCATCCCTCATTGGCCAGAAATCTCACGAAAGGATTTTATAGATATTGTCGAATTCAGGTTTTTGTGGATCAGTTACTGGCGGTGATGTCGAGGATGGCAATAGATTCATAGATTTATTCAGTAGCTACGTGCATGTGTTGAGGGACACGCAGGTACTTGGGTGAATCTACTGTATATTAGGTATTGTGGGTGTCTTTGAATTCATTACTTTTTTTTATATAATTTTCCGACGCCATTGCTGTGACCACGGGGGTGGCGGGCTAGATTCAGACTTTCAAATTTACCCCGTGAGGTGGGTAGTTTGTTGGGCACCCCTTTGCATTATGTGCCAGGAATGGCAAGTTACATATAGTGACAGAATGATGAGAGTGTGGGGCGAGATTTCCCGATACACTTCATATGTTTATGACAAAGCGTGGCAGGTCCCCAGGTTATGTAGTGCCAGGTCTGCCTCTGTGAGGAGAGATACCGCATGGAGACCCGTGGGCGTCAAACCATTGCTCAAGATGATGAAAACAGTGACACGTTTTAAATTTGACTTTCTTTAGTAATTTTTCATATACCCTCCCCCCCAACAGCTGCCTATAGACCCCTTCTCCCTCGAATACTGTAATTACATCTCACCCGACCTTATTATACGGGACTTAGCCCACCCTAACCCCATACTCTACCCCTGAGGACGGACGCGACACGCTCAGACACCAACACAAGCTTGATTCTAATTGATCCTATTCTTGTTCACGTACAGTACATGGCGTGCGAAATCATATGGATGAGCAATACAAACAGTAAATGAATATACAGTAAATTCTCTCTCTCAATAAAATCGGAACAGTTATTACAAGTAGCAGATACCAGCAGTGGGAAGGAAATGTATTAGGTCCTGAATGCAGCTGTATAAATTCACATATGAAAAACACTTGCCCTCTAGGGATAGACGGGTGTGTGGCCATGAGGAGAGAGACGGGTGTGTGGACATGGGGAGATAAACGTGTGTGGCCATGGGGAGAGAGACGGGTGTGTGGTCATGGGAAGATAGACGGGTGTGTGACCAGGGGGAGATAGACGGGTGTGTAGTCATGGGAGATAGACGGGTGTGTGTCCATGGGGAGATAAACGTGTGTGGCCATGAGGAGAGAGACGGGTGTGTGACCAGGGGGAGATAGACGGGTGTGTGGCCATTTTAGTTCACTGTATTAACTGATATTGAAACAGTTTATTTAGCCGGAAAAATACAGAGTGGACAATAATTATTAGCAACATTGACACCTGTTATATACTGTACATTTAGCTCAATGAATTATTATATAACATTTAGTATCATCTGGATTACTACATGTAATATGGTGTTAGTAAATACATGTTAGAATGTTACCACGTTCTCACTTTTTTTCATTACTATTAAAAATATATAAGTAGGTGGAAGCAGTACATGAGTATTGTTGGGGTGAAATAACGGGGCAGTCAGGATCATGTCTTGTCGGCAGAATATATAATCACTGCAATGGTAATTTATATCAACGTGATAATATATGATATAATGGTTTTTAATGGTACAGTAAAAGTGTAAAAAAAAAGCCTTAAGAGTTACTTCAAAAGGTATGGAGATTCATTTAAGTCATCGTAGTCTATGGGTTAAGTACTTATATTGTAGTGTTAAATTATTGTAATCTTGGGGTTGTCATCGTACTCAAGAGGATAAAGATAAAATAACGTATGGATACCGAGAGCCTTGAACCTTTGGTTCGGCTAGGAGTGCTGAGTGGAACCCCAGTCCTGAAAGTTGCATTGTTCACGACGGTTACCATGGCGCGCAATGCTGACAGTTGGCTGACGCCTCAGTATCAATGGCGCCAGACAGCAGAACATGCAGGGAGGGGTCAGCGGTGTTTTGCTTAAGGTAGGATCAAGTATAAGTCACCCTTGATGTCCTCAAGCGTCCTCTCGAACACTTTGTTTGCGTAATGTCAACCAGTAAAGTGCGTTGGTGGAAGGTGGGGGGGGACCTTGATACGAGACGTAGGCAACCCTGGCCTGAGTGTGTATCTACATTAACGGAAAGAGTGTCAATTGAAATATGAAGTATATTGTTTTTGTTGCAGATATTCTCCTTAAATTCCCTGAATTTTTATCGGATATATGGGTAAATTATGTACTGTATATACCGAGGTGTTTGGCTGTATTGGTTTAGGAGCAAGATAGGCGTCTCTTGGGTAGTATCTCGTGATCTTTAATTACTTTTTTTAATACCTCAAGTTTTCTTTGTGATTAACTTATTAATTCTTTTGAACTGTATGTCTTCATTATTCCTTTATTTTTAAAATTCAACTGGGAAAATTATTATATCGTGATGATAATCATAATTATGTACCGTATACATGCTTGCATATTTAATTGTTTAAAAAAAATCAGTTCTTTGGAGACAAATTCAAAAGGACAGTTAATATGACTCACCCAATTTAACAGGAAAATCCGGGAGATAAGTGCAAAAGTGTATCATGCTTGCTAATGGTGGCGGAGAGCGTAAAGTTTATATCTGGTTACGTGCACCCACACAGACAGTGTAGTAGAGGTGACGGCAGTTAAAGCAACATTCCTAGATGCACCACACCCACAAGCCACCTCCAGGCTGGTAACTTCCTCTTAGCTGGAGTTTTCGTGAGGTGTCATAGACGAATGTGGGAGAAATCAATGGTGTAAAGGCCCAACGACTGTTGTACTTTGGTTGTTGAGAGGCAGGGTCAGCAGTGTGAGGATCCAGTATTTCTATCCTGGCCCTCATCACACACACACACGTACCCACACCACACACATCGTATCAAAGATTGAAGAAGTGGAACGAGGGAGGTGTCCAGAGGGTTGTGGCGGCCAGAGCATAATGGAGGACGCAGGTGTGTGTGAGGACATAGCTTACAATAGAAGAAACTTGAGCGGGTCTGCCCTGTGTCCCAGTCCAGGACCCGCCGACAACCCTGATGACTTTCATGTGACGATGTCGTGGGGCCTCAACGCCCTCCTTGTGCCTCTCACCTACGCCAGGTCACTGCTTCGTGAGGGTGACCTCTCTTCACTGACCTCCCTTGTGTCAGCTTATTACCAGGCGGGGGAGGAGAAGGTCACCATCGGCTATAACGTAAGATATTGTGCTTCTCAAACACACACATACACAAACACATGCATATACATACATACATACACACATGCATACACATACATACATACATATACATACATACATACATACATACATACATACATAATCCATACATACATACATCCATCCATACATACATACATACATGCATCTGTATCACCTTACGCCCCACTTTAAGTTATTATAATAGCAAAAACGAACGCATTATGACGATGCCCTTGCTGTGTATTGATGCATACTATTTGTTAATTTTGCCATTGATCATCTCATTTTAGGGTTGTAAGTATTGTTAAGCTATAGCAGTGCGCTATATAATGATCGCATTCAAGTAAAAACAAGGGTTGTAACACTTCATTCGACAGAGCTGTACCTTAATGGTTTTGTTTGTACAGTACATATAAGGTGGTAATCATGAGATCGCCGTGTCCTAAGTTCTTGCTGAGCTGAGCTGAGCTGAGCAGGACCACTTGCCAAATATACCTTGGTCTATGGTTGACACTGACGGTGGCACAGAGCAGCAAATTTCATAACCGTGACCTTGGGAATATTATGACCACCATTATATACAGTAATTCTGTAAAGTCTTTAACATCTTCAAAAGATTAAACACCAGCATTAATTCTAAGAAAATTAAGATCAACAGGCCTAGTTACCCAAGGCAAACTTCTAATCCGTCATAGATGAAAAAATAAAACCCTAGACATAGGTGAACTATGATCTTTATATTAACTTATTAGTTCAAATATTCAATGACCATACAAACTTTCTATACTGTACAGTAGATATAGCACAATATATACCAAAGTTGATGTTGCATTGTTACTTACTCGTCAGAAAAATAAAGCCATGTGGATTTGTAAATAAACAGGCAGGTTTATCTATTGCCAACGTCCTCCCGACATGAACAAGTTCATATTAAAGACTCATTAGTATGAACGCATTAGTAATGCGTCACTCCGTCTACACGGAGTGACGGAGCAGAAAAGGCCAAGATTTACTGTACAGAAAATGAAAGTGACTTAATAGACCAAATCATAACGGAAACAGGCTAAATTCAGGACTGAAAAACCTAACGGTTTTATATACTATGATATTTTACTTCAAACTGTATTCTCTCTTGTTGCAGTACACTTTTATAATACTGTTTTTGAAACTGGTTAAGCTAATTATGAATTTTGGTAAATTCTGAACACTGAGCCCGGTGGCAACTGACTCTCCCCTCTCACTACGCTATTGACCTTACCCTAACCTAACAACTTAACCTAAATTATCCCAACCTAACTTAACTTAAATTATCCCAACCTAACATAACTTAAATTATCCCAACCTAACATAATTTACCTTAACCTGGGGTATCCTGAGCGAGATCTATGTGGCTTCAGGACTCGGACAATTTTGGTTTACTCAGCAGTATGGTATTTTCACTAAAATTTTATTGGTGTGTGTGTGTGCGCGTGTGTTTTGCTCACACTGAACACGACTTACAGGAGATCCTGAACACCTACGCAGACGCGTATGCACACTTCGGTCTTGAGGTGAATGTACGTAAGACTCAGATGCTCTTTCAACCTGCCCCTGATTCAGACACACCTCCACTATCCATCCAGCTTAACGGTACTACCCTCTAATGTTGCCCACTTTCGGTATCTCGGCTCCCACCTGTCCACCACCGCAGACATCGATGCAGAGATTCAGCATCGGGTCAAATGTGCATCTCAAGCCTTGGGCGGACTCCGAAATCGTGTCTTCAGTTGTAGGGAGCTGAAATTATCCACAAAGCTACACGTATATTCCTACCCTACTATATGGCAGTGAGACATGGGTCACATACGGGAGGCACCTCAAGGCACTTGAAAACTTTCACCAACGTAGTCTACGGTCCATCCCCCGAATTCACTGGGAAAGACAAAAGAACAAATGCCAATATTCTTGCTAACACCAACCGTAGGAGCAGTGAGGCTACCATTAACCATGAACAACTACGTTGGACTGGCCATATTACCCGCATGAACGACAGTAGACTGCCAAAGCAGCTTCTTCACAGTCGCTTAACGAATAGTAAACGTAACGCCGGCAGGCAATTGAAAAGGTATAATGATAGTCTTAAGACAAACATGAAAAGGTACCAAATCGACCCCCTCACTTGGGAGTCGATTACTCCACATTGTAACGCTTGGAGGGCACCACGCGAGAAGGTGTCAATACTTTCGAGATAGCCCGACTGCAAACCGTGGCAGACAAGCGCCAACTTCGGAAAGACGCTGCTACCGCCCCTCCCACAGTAGATGGAGCCCTCCACATGTGCAACAAATGTGGACGACGCTGCGGGTCCTGTATCGGCCACTTTAGTCACCTCAAAACTCCCTAACCTCGGTGACATCCTCAATACCTCGTATCATTGTATCATAGCTGGACGGTCGTCATACTCGATTCCGAGTGACAGCAAAGTAGTAGTAGTGTGTGTTATCTCAACTGGGTGTGTGGTTTCCGCAGAAGGGAGAGAGTCGCCTTTTGCATTATAGTATACCCCCCCCCCCCAACCTTACTCTCACCATTATCAGTTTAAATACGGCCATAAGCATCAGGTCCCAGACAATGAAAATATGAAATAAACTCGTAAGCCAATTGTATATGACTCCGCCTACTATTCCTATAATAGAAAGGTAATTTATATGCGGTATTGAGTTATATTTGTGTATATATTGATTTTAACGTAACCATCGGTGCTCTGGTGCTTGTAAAGGAAACTATTTTGAAAACTGAACTTAAATTTTGGTATTTCCTTCGTTCTGAAAGATGCAAAAATACAGATGGATGTATACAAGAGGCCTTGACAACCCCCCCCCCCTCCACCCTCCCCTGATCCTCCCTTGTCACCCTATTATATCCCTAGCCATCTGTGACACGACACACATACGGGTCAACACTACACACACGACCAGGAGTGTGATGTAGCCCCGATGAGTCATACTACGCTGCTCACTATAGTATCATGGAAGATAATTTTATTGCCATATTTATTTGGTTCCGGGTAATAATGTTGGGGATATTCTTAGTCACGGAATTCAGTTTCAGCATCAGTTATATGCCCTTCTGTTCTCACCGCGGCTGTTCGCGTAGATTGACAAGCGTTTAAATGTGCACACTGCTTCTAACTTGCCCTCACAGAGATACGTAGTACAGGAACTGGACTTAGTGATAAGAAATATTGCTGTCATCCTACGCCCATGTGTTTACCAGTGCATTAATATTGTTTAAATAAGGTTACGTTTGTTTGGGAAGGTGAGGTCAAGTTAACCTAGATTAGGTTAGGTTATTTAGGTATTTTCTCTAAGATACGAAATTATGAATATACCGGACACATTTGGTTTAATTTGTTTCAGCTCTTTTGATCCAGATTTTAAAATATACGACTATGTCCTTATCGCAATTTCCACACCATTTTGGCAGCCACTTTTGTGTCATAGCTTAATGGAGGTCGGTTGGATGCATTCTCGCAACAGTTACCCGGAGAATTCAACATACCAAGTTATAAGAATGGGTTGGTGAATTTGATGGTACTGTATATGGCAGAGCGCATCCCCATAATGGTGGCTCCCTCGCCCAGCTGGACGATTGTGGGAGATTACATGAGTGGTGTTAGCCTGTGGGAACGAGGAGCGAAACTGTACTAGTGCTTCTGTTTTCTCTCTACATATGTATCGCCTGCCAAGTGCTTCGAACTGAGGGAGGTGAGGTATGCTGCGATAGTCAACTAGTTTTTCTCGTAGATGGTGCTGTAGATTTAGATTTGTCTGTATTGTAAACACATCCTACACCTTATTGGGGCGGGCATAGTGCACGTCCCTTTAATTTTTCCATGGCAAAGTACATTATAAGTATATTTTCTCTGAGCTTTAACGAAGTTGTTTCTGTTAATTAATTTTGAACTATCCACCAACACGCTTGTGGTTCATCGTCATAAAAAGTGTATATACAGAAACCTACTTTAATGTGATAAATATTGTTACTGTGGACGTTAGGTAATGTAAGTGTGAATATTTGAATAATATGAGTGTGTGCACATTCTGAATAGTGTAATAGTATGATAGTCCAAAAAAAAAAAAGTATGTTGGATTGTTGGTCTCCTCCGTGGTTGATTCTGGGTGAGGAGAACAAAGAGAAAGGGAAGCTTTCGAGTTGGAAGTTCCCCAGAGATCAAAGACGTATTTATTTTGCTGGACAATCGGGGAAAATAACCTTTAACTTGGTTTATTATTATCTTGAACAATCCCCAGGGTAGAAGGTGGTCAAGTATCTGACAGCTAAAAGGCTTTACTCTGTAGTAATAATGAAAATCGTTATCTCCCTTATCACACACACCCTCTTCCCTTCTCCCCCCTCTTAACCCCCCCTTATTTTCCCATTTCTCCCTCCTATTTCCTTCTCCCCTTCTCTTCCCTTCTCCCCTCCTCTTCCCTTCTCCCCTCCTCTTCCCTTTTCCCCTCCTCTTCCCTTCTCCCCTCCTCTTCCCTTTTCCCCTCCTCTTCCCCTTTCCCCTCCTCTTCCCTTCTCCCCTCCTCTTCCTTTTTCCCCTCCCCATCCTTTCTCCCCTCCCCTTCCTTTCTCCCCTCCCCACCCTTCCTTTCTCCCTCCCTTCCTTTCCCCTCCTTCCTTTCTCCCCTCCCCTTCCTTTCTCCCTTCCCCTTCCTTTCTCTCCCATTTTCCTTCTATCTTCCTCTTCCTCTCTTCCTCATTCCTCACCCTTTCAGCGGATCCCGTGCCGATAAGCGGTAATCGTGGTGTGTAAGGCTCAACGAGATGCAATAAAGGGGGAAGAGAGGGAGGCCAGAAGAAGAATGGGTGGTTGGTCAGAGAGCCAATAAACGGAGGACCTGGGAGAGATGTAATCATCGGAAATGGAGTGAACAGGGAGGCTCAGAAAGGGGAGTGAAGCGTAGTGGTGAAAGAAATAAGGAAATGTAATGCAAAAAGGTAAAATAATTGGTAACAACGCATGGAATATATGAAAAGGAGAATTGATCAGAACGAAGGATATATGGCTGATAACGGCAAAAGAAAAGTGGTAAAAGTGAAGGAAATTTGGTGAAAGTGCAAAAAAAATAAATAAATAGACTTAGAAAAACGGAGAATGGTAAGAAAGTAATAAGAGTCGAAAATGGCAAATTGAGTTGGACGGGAAATTTAGTTCAAAAGGGGAAATTGTGTAAAAAAAAAGTGTAGATAGCAGATTTTTGTTCCTAAACCAACTAAAATAGTTCAGAAAGGAGGAAAATTGTGGGGGAGAAAGGGAAAAATTTGGAAAACAGAGACTGGTATAAAAAATTAGGAAATTATGTTGAAAATGGAAAATTATGTTAAAAAAACGAGAATTAATGTATACAAATGTGAAGCCATGAGAAAACACAGTGGTGTATAAAAGATAAGATGTGATATATGGAATAACCGTTAGCGCACTCATACATACAGTCAGTCAAGTGTTATACACTACTCACATTTGCGCACCCGTGATGCATTTCACATATTTTTTAATTGTTAATAACTACAGTAGTGTATTTACTTCACATATTTTTAATTGTTAATGACTACAGTAGTGTATTTAACAATCTAGAAAACGTGATTGAAGACCTTCATTGCTAAAGCGTAATACTGTACAACTGTACTGTAATACAATGTAGAGAGGTAATGTGCATTTTATTAGGATTTTACAGGTAGTAGGCAGCTATCAAACAGGGAGGTACTACCGCCTGGGAAGATACTGGAAGCATAATGTGTTGTCTAATGGTAGACCCTGCTGCTATATGGCATCACAAAAATTGTGACCAAGTCCCAGGTTGCTGATCTGACTTTCTGCCTCATTTACACACAATTGCAGGGTCTCAATTGCTTCTCTTACTGTTGACAACACAACACATATATTGTTTCTCACTTTTGAGCTTTAAATTATTATTATTATTATTATTATTATTATTATTATTATTATTATTATTATTATTATTATTATTATTATTATTATTATTATTATTATTATTAATATTATTAATATTACTACTATTATTATTACAGTGTTATTATTATTATTATTGTTGTCATTATAATTTTATTGTTATTTTTTATTGTGTATTTTATTATAAATTTTATTTACTATGAATTATGATTATTATTATTATTATTATTATTATTATTATTATTATTGTTGTTGTTGTTGTTGTTGTTGTTCAGTGACCTGTGCCTGGGTGGGCAGATACAGAGTCGATTACAAAATCATAATACAGTACTGAATTAACATGGCTGAGCCAATTGAGAGCCTGAGCTCTCTTGAAGACACCTGATATATACTGTATCATCCGGAATAGTATATACTGTACATAGCATGGTGGTAATAAGAACATATCAGAATGTTAACACGGTTATCACTTCGATATTTATTTATTTATTTATTTATATATATTTTTTTTTTTTTTTTTTTTTACATTTACAGGGTATATTAAAAGTATACATAATTTATGGTGGAATTTAAAAACATAAATATGATGAGGGAAGCAGTACAACATGGGTTGCATTAAGTGCGTGACAGAGATGTAACCGATCACCCAAGCGGCTAACAAGCCGATCAGTGGTGAAGAGGATAAAAGAAAAAGAAAAGAAAAAGGTGGAACAAGAGGACAGAGCTGTCTGGATTATGTCTAGTAGGGCAGGAGGTAGGAAGGGTAGGGTGGTGGGCTGGGCAGGTGGTGAGCTGGGCAGGAGGTAGGAAGGTGGGAAAAGGTGGTGAACTGGGCAGGAGGTAGGGAGGGTAGGGTGGTGGGCTGAGCAGGAGGTAGGAAAGGTAGGGTGGTGGGCTGAGCAGGAGGTAGGAAAGGTAGGGTGGTGGGCTAGGCAGGTGGTGAGCTGGGCAGGAGGTAGGAAAGGTGGGTTGGGCAGATGGTAAGGGAAAGGTGGTGAACTGGGCAGGAGGTAGGGAGGGTAGGGTGGTGGGCTGAGCAGGAGGTAGGAAAGGTAGGGTGGTGGGCTGAGCAGGAGGTAGGAAAGGTAGGGTGGTGGGCTAGGCAGGTGGTAAGGGAAAGGTGGTAGGAAGGGTAGGGTGGTAGGCTGGGCAAGAGGTGGTAAGCATAGAGAATGTATGTCAGTACCTGCAGGCTTGTGCGTTTATCCATTCGACTGAGTATTGAATTGAATATCCCAAAATCATATACAGTAACTCTAAATGATGCATCCATCCTATATGGATAGTGATAATTCTAAGTGATGGGTGAACTGTACTTGTAGTTTGAAAGTTACAGAAGTTATGAATACAGTATATTGTGAATTCAGCAACAATAGAATAACACTATTTTTATACTGAACATGTACCTATGAAGATCTAAGGTCTGTTTATTAACCAATACTGTAGTAAGTTTTTACCATTTTATGATAAGGATTTTTCAGATAGTTTCTCGACCATTACTTTTATGAACTTTCTGGTAATTTACTGAATTTAATTACCTGTAATTGTAAGATGTAGGTCAGTTTTTGTACTGTACTGTACTTACAATCATTACCTTTGTGTTTCAGGTGTCGGCCAATGACACGTTGACAAGCATTGCAGCCAGGTTTGACACAACGCCCTCGGAACTAAGCAAGCTCAACAAGCTGTCCACCAGGTTTGTGTACCCTGGCCAGGTGATAGCCGTCCCAGACAAGTCAGCATTACTGGACAACAAGGCCGACGGGGGGCTACAAGACGCCACTGAGAGCAATGGACAAGGTGAGAGTATGGAACACTGGGGACCTGGTGACGAATGGCAATAGTGGGTAGAAAAGAGAAAATAAATGTGATTCATGAATGAAGGAAGAATATAGAGGACAAGAGTGCAAGATTTAGGGTAGAGGGGAATAGTAGACAACAAGAGCAAGTTATAATACATGCCATACAGGCGTATCTGAAGCCATTATATGATGACTTGAGTGGGATAAGGGTGGGAACTAAGTCACTTTGGGTGTCATTGGAGTCCCCACTTATCATCTTACCATTTATTGTTGCTCCATTGTTAAGTTGCTAATGAAGTGGAGAAGGTGTCTGTTTTGTGTTGCTTTGATTTATTATAGTGTCACTGGCTGCCATCTACTACTACTTAACTGTTCTTCATGTTGTAGGACTGTGGCAGTGCAGGGAATCCAAGAGGTGTTCCTGCCTCAGTCTGGTCATTGCATTGTTTAAATTTGTACCTCACAGAAACGTGCAGGATTATGCCCTTTCCTAATTTCATGAACATTCTCTTTAGGGTTCTCCTTTATGAAGGGAGTCAGTGGAAGAACTTTGACTTCAAATGGGAGACAATTCTAGACCAGTCCTGATCAAATTTTCAGTGTTATCACTCTGTGTAGGTACAGGAAGCTATAATACAGTAATTGTTTTGTAGTGAAGTACTGTTAAACATTTTCTGAAATGAAACACCATAATGAACAAATAGTTCACTCACTTCATACAAGATTTTCAGTTGCCAAACCTCCCTTTATTTACCAAATGGCCCCACTAGAGGTGGCTATGCTAAGGGAAGGAGGTCAGTGGCCTGTGTAGGATCACTCCACTGTTCTTGATAATTTTATCAAGGGCTATTTTGAAGCCCAGTACTGTACTGTTCTTGATTCCACAGCTTGGGCTGGTAGACCGTTTCATAGGTCTATCACCTGTGTGAAAAGTATTTCCTTATATGTATTCATTTTGCATGATAACTTGGTGAGCTTGTAGCTATGTCCTCTCATGTTGGGGTGCGTGACGTCACAAAGAAATGTCCCGGGTTCACGTTTTCTGTTGCTTTTATATTTTGAATGTTTGAATGAGATCTGCCCTGTTGTGCCTTTTCTGGAGGGCTATTAGGGCCAATTGCAAGAACGGTTATGGGGTGTACCACGCCATTTACGATGACCTTCTTGCCCTGGTCTTTTTCAGCAATATCGCCTCTAACACATGGAATTCTGCACTTTTCGAAGCTTTGGAGGAGTCTCGAAACAAGTTTCCTGGTGGGAATTATTAGCTAGTGCTGTACTCAAAATATCGAAACTTCGAGATCTCTCCAGAGCTTCAAAAGGGTGGTATTCCTGAAACAAGATCAGGGCAAGAAGGTCATCGTAAACGGCGTCGTACACCCAACGACTGTTCTTGCAATTGGCCCTTAGTCCTAAAGCCCTCAGTCTACTTGGATAATCGAGATGACAGTTCCAGAACCATCTTAGTCACTCTGCGTTGTGCCTTTTTTAGGGATGTTAGATCTTTCTGGAGATAGGGTTTCCATGCCTGTATACAGTACAGTAATCCAAGCTGTGACGTACTTGGGATTTGTACAGTTGAAGGAGCATTTTCCTCTCTTTGTATTCAAACGTATGCTTTATAGTTCCCAAATCTCGATTTGCTTTTCTCACTGCTGCCCCCACTTGTTGCGTTCCCTTCAGTGAATGATCTATCACAATGCCAAGATCTTTCTCCTTATTGACAGCTCATTCAGGTCTTCTAGCATTGTTACGACATCATCCTGACTTGATACCTTCCCAAATACAGTATCTTCATATCATCTGCAAACTTGACAATGTGGCTTTATATATTTTCATGTCATTTACTGTATGTAGATCACAAAAAAAGTGGTTTCAAGGATAGGCCCTTGTGGTACTCCACTGAGAACCTTTTTCCATTTGGAATATACTTCATTTATTTCCACACTATGTTGCCTGTCTTTGAACCACTTGTTAATCTATGTCAAAATCTTGCCTGTGATGCCATGTGCCTGGATCTTGGAGGCAAGTCATGCATGTGGGACTTTGTCAGATGCCTTGGAAAATCCATGTACAGCACATATACTGGGAAGCCTTGGTCCACATATTTTGTACCATTTCACATAATATGAGTAAGTTTATTAAACAGGATTTTCTTTCCATGAAACCCTGTTGTGATGCATTGATAAGACTGTGTCGGTTGTTAGATGATGGCGTCCCTCATAATTTTCTCAAAGAGTTTACATTTATGTGTTGTTGGCTGATCTGCCTGTAGTTTTCTGCTGCACTTGTCCTACCCTTCATGTATTCTGGAGTGACATTGGTTGATTTCCAGTCCCCCAGGATTTTTACCTTGATCCAAGGATTTCCTAAATAAGAATCTTAGTGGGGTGAAAGTCTCGTTTGTCACCTCCTTTATCACCGTGGTCTGTGCTCTGTTCACTCCAGGGGATTTGAATTCTTTCAAGCTCGCTTTTTTCATGTTGATGATATCGTCTGTAATTACTATCTCTTAATTAATTTTCTTCCCCTGAAGTATACAGTACATTCTTTTAGGTACTGGCATGTTATCCATTGTCTCTTATGTGAATACCCTGTACCGATGCAAAGTATTAATTTAAGGTATCAGCTGTCTGTCTGTCATCCTCCAGGGCCATGTTGTTTTCTTCCTTTAGAGGGCTGACAGTACTTACTTAATATTTTGGACTAATTTCATATTGAAATGCTGTTTGGCTGATCTAATTTCCTGATTTGCCACATTTAGGTCTCTGTGTATACTACATTATCAGTAGGGGATGCCTTTTCCTCCAGTGTTTCTTCCACATCTGGTATTTTCTCTTGCAGGCTTTCCTAGTTTTATGATTCATTCACCTGGTTTTATTCCCTCTTCTCTTTGTTTTATGGGGTATACATTCCTCTAGTGTTAACTCCAGGATTTCCATGAAGTTTTGTATTGATTCATCTATGTCTGACTCCTCGAATGATTTCTTCTCAGTTAAATCTCTCTAGTTTGTATCTCATGAGCTGGTAATCTTCATGGTTGAAGTCATAGTATTTCTCCTCGACTACTCTCTCTTGACTATCAAAGCTTGTATCCCATCTTAGTACTACTATATGTAGTGATCGCTGGTCAGAGTTAGCTTCTCCCCAATGTGGACCTCACCCACCATAGCCTCCTCAGTCTTCTAGAATAAATCTAGAATGTTGTCTCTCCTCGTGGGTTCTGACACGTGTAATGTAAGAAATGAGTCTTGACTGAGATCAAGGAATTTTTCTCCCTCGGCTTGTGGTAAGATTCACCCAGTCTATTGTCTCATGATTAAAATTGTGGCATTCTCCAACAAAATCTACACACTTAATTGTCTGACATTTTCATATGACTGGTTATTCTCATTACAAAGCAAGAATTACTTTTAAAATAGCCAACTACAGAACCATATTAAGAAAGAATTTCCTATACAGTACAGTATTGTACGTTAAAGAAAATTATCTTGATATTAATTTTCCAGACCCGTTAGCCCAAATTCGACCTCCCTCACCAATACAACGAGGCGACCTCAAAACTCCAGTATCACCCCATACCTGCCCTCGAACACCAGCCAATTCAGTGGATATTGAAAAATCATTGGACCGTGAATGTCTAGAGAAGTTTTTGAAGATCAGTGTCCGGCATATCACAGATGGACAGGTGAGTGTGCCACAGTGAACACTTAATTGTCAACTGTACAGAAACACCTACAGTAAAGAAACTTGCATAGATATTAAGCATTTCAATATTGTACATGCTGTTGATAATACATATCTATCAGTCATCATTGTTTAACATAGTATTATTAAGATTTGTTACTTTATTGGCCTATGCATTTTCATTAGTGCAAACTGTTGTTATGTAGCTATGTTTCTCAGTATCTCTCACCTGATATGCCTATAGAAGAGCAGAAAAGAGGAAACATTCCTCACTGAGAGGTGGGCCCCTTCCACTTTTCAAAAGTGTCAATCTAACTAAATCTTAGATAAAGAAATTTGCCTAACCTACAGGTCATTGCCAAGTGACCAATAAGGTACCTCATTTGGAAGAACCTTTGCCATTGCTTACCATGGTTAAGGGGCTTGACACATTCCACTGGCTGGTTACACTGTAACCCAACCCCATGTTCAGCAAATTAAGCCCAAGGCAGGGGTTAAAGCTCAAATTTTGATGATTGTCTCCAGAGCCAAGCCCTCCAAACCTTGAGTGGATCTGGAAGGCTGTAACCTTAATGCATAAATTATATCATCCAATATTAATATATTGCACCAACAAATTCTAAGATTTCCAACCAGTAAGACAACTAGAGATAGTGATGAGTGGGTAAATTTTATAGCTCAAGGGAATAACGTACTGTACAGTACTACAAATTATTCCAAACAAGGTAGTGTGGGTTTCTTCTGGACATGAGCACAAGAGATCACATTGGTCAGGAAGTCCTGTATTCTTTGGACATGATAAGAGTTTCAGGCATAGTGAAGCAGTTGAGGCAAAATCATGTTTTTCTTTTTAATTTTAATGAATTTGTCCAGGGTATTTTATAGCAAATTGTGTGTAGAATACGGACACCAGAGAAATGTTATTATTTTTTTGGTACCTGGTGTCCATGATCAAACAAAAAAAAATTTCATCTTTAAAGCCATAATGGATTGGAACAATTTACCTAACCACATTTAAACTTGTAATATTATCAAACACTTTAAAGATAAAACTAAAAAATACATAACGGATGAAGCGCCAGGAAGAGAGGAGAGCAAGTTTCTACATTATTAACCTAAGAAGGTTATATTGTTGACGCGATCCATCAGCCTCGGATAGTCTAAGCTTGTTGTAATTATCAAAAAATTTTCACTCTTATTCTTGTAGATTCATTATTGCTGAAAGATAAGCCATGGTATTATATGCCCTTGTAAATGACCATTATGGTGTCTTAGTCAGCCAGGCACTGCAAACGAGTATTGTCCAGACCAACTCCTTTTACTGTTTTACCAGGTATTTCATCGATTTCTAGTGTTCTAGTTAATAAGTAAACTTTCTGTTGCTTGATAACAATACTTACATTACAGTATAGAACTTAGGTACATCAGTTTATACAATCAGACCATTTCGTCATTAACAATTAATCGATGAGATCAGATTCCCTGACCATTGGATTCATTGTTTGTACGGCATTTTCGACCTTTTTGTGCACGGTTTCTGTTGATTGCTCTGTGAAGTGTCCTCCGTGATTTTTGCTGTTTTCTCCAATTTTGTTGTGTTAGCCATGAATATGGAAAGACAAGGTAAGAATGTTCCCAAGAAGCATTCTGGTGATCGAATTGCCAGCGGTGAACGTAAAAGAAAGGCTATAACACTTGAAGAGAAGCTAGGTGTGTTAGGCTAGTTACTATACAGTGGTCCCTCGGTTAGCGAGCACAATTCCTTCCAGAAGGTTGCTCGTTAACCGAAAAATTCGTTAAACGAAACCATTGTTTCAATGAGTTTTTGGGTAATTGGTTCCAGCTCACTAAAAATTACATACAAACTAAAAATAAATGCAGTAAAGTACACTTACTTTGAGATGTGCATGTAGAAGGCTCATGGTTGATGATGATGATGATGATGGGAATTAGAATGGAGGTGGAGGAGAAGGGAGAAGAGAAGGCATTGGGTTGTAAGAGAAGTCACCCCATGCTGCCATTTCACCCATAAAATTTTAGTTCACTTGGTGTAATTCAAGATTATTTTCTTTAAATCAACACTGCACTGCGCTATATATTATCAATATGTGAAATATATTTCAAAATGACCAATAATTTGACTGGAAACACAGAAGAAAAGCATTTATGTTGAAGAGTCTCAAACAAGATGTTCCTTCCTCTGAACTGGTAAACAAACTAACGCCAAGCTTGGTGTGTTGAGTGGCTGTTTGGCGCGCAAAAAACTAGCTTCCTGTACTTCAATTATGTTCATTAATTGTTAAAATGACTAAAAAATTTAATATATATAAATTTTTTAAAATTATTGAATAGTACAACCTTCTTGATATTTACTAAAATGATAAGGAATTTGTCCTAAAACCGATTACTGTATTGGCGGACTAATACTACAGCTGGTGGGCAGCCAAATGCAGGCGAAAACATGTTGGAAAAAATTCGTAAGGAATTTGTCAACCGAGGGTTTGCTCGTTAACCGAAGTGAAGAATCTTATGGAAGGTAATTCGTTAACCGAAATCTCGTTAACCGAGGGATCACTGTATTTGTTTCAACTTTGAGTAATCTGCACGAACCCTATTTTCTCTGTAAGCCCTGTTATTTTTATTGCATGAATTTCTATAGCGCGAGGTTTCACAAGAACACAATTATCGCATTGTAGCAGAAATGAAAGTACACACAATCGTACATACAGAATGTGCAAAAAGATAAAAGAAATGATTATCATAAGGTCAAAAACATACAGGAATAAACATTTCATATGTGTACATGAGTTGACACACAGCGGGGAATGGGAGGGGGGAGCACTGTGCGAGATCTCTGCTGTTCTCTGTCTCGTACCCCATGTGTTGTGAAACGATTGCCAAATGGGAACGCAATATTATTGTTAGTATTATTATTATTTTTTTATTTTATTATTTCAGTATTATTATTATTATTATTATTATTATTAATATTATTATTATTATTATTATTATTATTATTATTATTATTATTATTATTATTATCATCATTGCTTTATTTATTCCTCACATTTACTGATACACTATGCACGTAACACAGTTCAGGCAGGCAGTCATCCAGCTGACTCAAGAGACATGTGTGATTGCTGGCTGTGTAAGCCATGACCTTACATGGGGGAAGAGCGTCCAGCTGGCCGCAGTTACAGCTTACTGCCTCAATTCATGTGTTCATTTCCCACACATACACACTCATGCTTTTCATTTTTCTTATTTTATAGTTTTTTATTATATTTTTTATATTTCTAAACCACATTAGAGTTTAGAGGACAGTATCGTAATGATGCACTCTTGGAGCACAGAATCCCCAGTTTGTCAGACTTCCCTACTGGGTTTTCCCAGTGGGTCAAACATTTTTAAACCAAATTTTGATTAATCATTAAACAAGAAGGGGTGTTAAAAATTATTTATTGCTAAGTGGATCAATGGTAAGTGAGAGGTACCTGTAATTGAAATTTAGGTTTTTTCCCCCTTGGTGATTTTTGTGGTAGTATATACCTACAGTGGATATTATACAACTATTTATGATGCATCACAGGGTGTCCTTGTTATATGTTGAGTTGATATACATCATTTCACATTTGTATGTCACTAACAAATATAGGAAGAATTTTTTTATTATACAGTACTGTACACTTACATCATATGTTTCATATCAGTATATGTCATTTGCATCATCCATTGTTTTATGGTAAGTCTGTGTGTATCCAAATATTGTTCATAAATAGTGTTGAAAACATCTAATATAATATAAAAATAACTACAGTATTACCCCGCCTAACGCGGTTTCACTTAACGCATTTTTTCATATACGCGGTGCCTCGCCAGAGCTGAACTTTCACTTAACACGGATTTTTTCCACATACAGTTGTACCCCACTTAACGCGGTCAATTGAACCCAGAGGGTCCCGCGTTAAGTGAAATCCGCGTTAAGTGAACAACAGAACATATGGGATTAATTCCAATAGAAACCGGCCCGACCCCCAAACTCCACTTTTTGAAGGCACATACCTATGTTGTAGTAAAAATAACATCTTAATTTTATGATGGTACATGCACACAATTAATACTTAAGAGAAATAGAGAAATACAGTCGCCAAGTTAATGTCCATTCAAATAATGGACTCGACTCCCTCCCCTCTCACACTACACAGCCGGCTAACAGATGGTCCGTCGGGGGATGGGAGTGTTGGACTGACCAGCGGTTGGAAGAGGGGGGAAGGCAAGGTGGGGTACTTTGATTGACAGATAATGTCGTGAAGAATATTTTTTCTTTTATTAACTGAAGATATGTGTTTTAGCTCATAAAATTCATACAAATTACCCGGCCAGAATATAATTTACATTGCTGGAATTCTTATAATTTGGTGACCATTTTGAATATAAACATCATATATTTTGCATTAGACATACAAATTTTAGATAAAATGTTTTCTCTGAGTAACTATGTTATCTTTTGTGCAAAATATATGACATTTATATTCAAAATATTCCTGGTCTTACAAGGAATCCAGCAATGTCAATTGTATTATCCTAACTTTAGTTTGAGGTATTATTTATTAAAATTTAGTGGTTTTCCCCCAAAAATTTCTCAGAGAGGGAAGAGCCGGTAGTGTAGTGTGAGAAGAGGGGGAGGGAGTTGAGTCCATTATTTGAATGGACATTAACTTGGCGACTGTATTTCTCTATTTCTCTTAAGTATTAATTGTGTGCATGTACCATCATAAAATTAAGATGTTATTTTTACTACAACATAGTTAAGTGTCTTCAAAAAGTGGAGTTTGGGGGTCGGGCCGGTTTCTATTGGAATTAATCCCATATGTTTTGTTGTTCACTTAACGCGGATTTCACTTAACGCGGGACCCTCTGGGTTCTATTGACCGCGTTAAGTGGGGTACAACTGTATAATAAGTATTAAAAATACAGTACCCTACAAGTGTTATGCTGTACTGTATTTCTATCACGCCAAAATATGTCAGTTGCCTCTCTCACGATTGTATGTCATGCCAATATTATACGTAAGTAACCATAGAATTTGCAGAAAATTCATCTCATTATGCACGTGTGCCTTATGAATAAATAAAATTCTATACTCTCTACAGTAATATAAAAATATAAAAGAAAACTTAGGAGAGTAGGATATATTCTGTTGGGAGAGTGCATCTAAGAGTAGCAGGCAGTTTGACAACACACCGGGACTCGCTAGACTACTGTATATCTCACTGCGGACATTTAAATCACGCGTGTTCCAACATAAAAAATTTAAATGTATAAAACTTTATTCAGTTCTTATACAATGTAGGGTTTGCATGTAAGGAAATGGAGTGAGAAATAAGACACAAGTTTGATCAGATTTATTTCAAGTTCCTATTGCTAATTATATCTGATTAATTGAGATACCAGTAGGCTATAGTCAGATGTTATAATTCATCAGTTTTCTGTCAAGTTACATGGATACCTCTGTCTTAAAAATGTTTGATTCCTAAATTTTCTTTCATTTATCCCTCAATAAGCCTTAGATTGAGAAAATTTAATATTTTCATATACAGTACAGTAATGGTAAATGACAAAAAAATAACATTTTGGTAATTTTTTTTAATTGATATAAAAAATTATTTTATTTAAAAGAAATAAATCCTGATTCTTTTCCAAACCTGCTCTAACCATAGCAGGAACTGGCAGGGGGTTGTCCTCATGAAGGTACAGTATCTTGCAAGGCAAACCCCTCCCCTCTCAGCTATGAAATGGGGTTCCAAGATTCAATCCTCCTTTTATACAAACAAAATTAACCTTTCCTGAGTGAAAGTAAAAGATAGATTGGGATTTGTTCATATGTTTGTAGGTGTTAATGGAGAGTTTAAAATAAATTATATTGAAACAAAGTGTACTTCAGTAAAATATGTAAAACAATGGTCACTCTTGGAACAAGAACAAGATGTAAACATTTATATGCTTACAGTATTTTGTTTTACCTCCTCAGGGAGTTGTGGCAGGCGTCCTCCTAGTGACTCCAAATGCAGTAATGTTTGATCCTAATGTGTCTGATCCTCTGGTTATTGAACATGGGCCTGAAAGTTATGGTGTCATCGCTCCTATGGAGTTCGTTGTTAATGCAGCACTCTATTATGACATTGCACATATGAGAGTTAAAGATACCAATCTACCAAAGTGAGTATAATTTGCAAAGATTGGTGCACAGTGTGATGAAATAGTACTGTACAGTAATTGTATGCATCAATTATTAATGCACTACATGTAAATTTATGTTTTCTTGTATGGTGTTTATTGTAGGTATTGTAGGCTTGACTATTGTTTGTTTAGATACTGGCAATGTTATATCAGCTTATTTACAGTATTTTTTTTTTTCATCCATGAAGGCCTGAAATTCCAAAGCCAGAGATCTACTGGGGCCCAAGTCACGTGGAGCGTACTGGGAGCCAAGAGTCTCCAGGGAAGGATGCGTCTCTCAGCAAAGATGCAACTTTTCCTGAATTAGCAGCATCCCAAGATGATAATGATTCATCATGTTCTTGTGGAGGTGATACACGTGAAAGTTCAGCATTTCCAAAGGCCTTTGAGCATGAACTCCTTACTCCCATAGGTTCAGATGTTTCTCCTGCTAGCGGTGATGGGCAACCCTCATCCGGACAGCCTTCACCTAGTGGCCTGCAGCAGCAAACAGGACCTGTTGCTGGAGATCTTACGCCGATAGCTGAGGCAAGTCGTCTAGAAGACTCCCATGCCACACCCCCAAGCCTTGCTCAAACCCAATGTGATAATACAGCTGCTCAGGACCTTGCTCAAACTGATTGGACTGCAGCAACCACACAAATGGAAGATGAGTCCATGTGCAATGATAAGAAGAGGACCACTTCAGTTACTTTTGACCTAACTGGGGAGGGTGAAGAAGCCATACCAGACATAGGAAGTGAAGCCAGTATACAAGAATCACGGAAGCAAAAGGTAAGCAATGAAGCAAAGTTACAGTATTTTTAATCCATTGTCCTGTCATTTAAAAAATATATATATATATTTAAACTAGGAGATAAAAAGATTTGTATAGATTTTTTTTTACTTTTTTGTTATTATAACTCTTAACAATTTAGGCATAATTTTTTTTTTATGCTAGTGGATATCACAAAGCCGGTTGTGGCGAACAGAAACAAGCTGCAACTCTTCGGCATCAGAAAAGTTAACTCACACCCATAAACCTGCAGCCTCAAAACCTTTGAGTGCTTTACGCTCGGGTCAAGCAGAGGTGAGAGTAAAGTAATGATGAACACAAAGTAGCAGTGCTAGTATGGTCATGTAGAAGTTTCAAGCAATTTAAGTCATTGAACTACAGGTAGTGAGTTTAGTAATAAGTATTACTTTAGATTTCTGATTATTATCTGTATCTGACCCCCATTATCTCTACTGTAAAAGTTGTCCAGTTGCTGTATCTTTTGAATTTTTTAATCTTACTCTTCATTTGTCTAGTTGATGAAATAGTACCATGAGTCTGTGATATTGTACCACGTTAATATACATGTGATACCAGTGTTCTGTAAAATGGTATTGGTCATCTAGGAAGACCTTGTGAGTGATTGTACACAAGTTGACCACTCTGTGAGTATTCAGCCTGTCATTGGTGTAAAGTTGCCAAGTACTGGAAATAGGTTCAGAGAGGGAAAAGGAAGATTAATAACTGTGAGTGAAAAATTTTGTAGGTGGGAAGAATTTGTTTTTTGCATTTATGGGTTTAAAGAATTATGTGATGGAGAAACATTAAAAATTTATGAAATAAATAAAAAACTGATGACTGCTGCTCAAAATTCCTATAAGGAGAGTGAAGCATTGCCTAGAGCAGATTGGGAAGTGGGAAACTGGTTTGCAGGGTAAGGACGACTACTTCTAGAATGTGTATTGTCACCATGGTTGTTTAATATCTTTATGGAGTAATGGCAAGAGTTGCAAGCTTGATGAATAATAATATGAAATGTAAATGGGAGATGATACACCTGGTGTTTACACTGATTTAGTAAATGATTTGGATAAAATTAACGAATGTTGGTGAATGAATTTGCTTGACTGTATAACAGGAGAAAGTTTAGAGTTAAGCCCCGGTCACATGAGCGCTTTCATGACCAAATTCTGGACTGAAATTTATTTTGGGCAAGTTTGGGGAGAAATTTAACTGGATGATCGTGATCGTCAAGTCTTGATAATTTCAAGCAAGATTCCTGGGTTAAAACTTGGCTAATACTGTGTTTAATCACACGAAGTGTGGATTGTGGGAGGAGGAGGAGGAGGGAGCAGTGTTTGTGGATCTCAGCCACTTCTGTGTCCCAAGTGCAGTGAAACTATTGCCTACTAGCAATGCAGTATTTTTTAATTTTTTATTAATTAGTTTTTATTTATTCTGCATACAGTATTTACTGGTACAGTACTATAGTATACATGTGGTCCTGGTCCCTAGTTACCTCAGATAATGAGAAGTGTATATAAAAAATATGTGGTGAAAGTTGCCGGCTGGGGACACATCCCCCCCTAATTACATTGATTCTTATGGGGAAGAGACCTGCAGAATCCTCCTCTTATGTTTTCTGACATGTATACTGGACATGGACCAGCAACTTATGAACAAACAAACAAATGAAAGAACACACACACACACACACACAAAAGAGGAAGGTGCGAGTCCAAACATCAGCTGACCCCCAATATTTTCAAATTCATTATTCACAGTAACTTTTAGGAATACATCCTTTACGATAACCTGGGTGCACCTGTACTGTACTCTATACATATCATTGTAGAGTCCCATGGTTGTCATCTACTGAATCTTAACCGTGGGGTGAGAACAGTGTCAGTGGAGGTCAACTTGGAGATGTGTAGAAATATTATGGAGTCAAAATTATTTTTATTAGTGGTATTATTTTTATTTAAAATTACATCACTTTTCAGCTCGCGAGCCTTTTGGGTGGTTAGTCTGTTCTTTGTTACTTTATTATGAACTTTAGGTTATTTGATGCCAAGGGAAGGAGCAAATTAGAAAAAGCAGAAATGACATGCTGCAGGGCAATATGTGGGATGAATAAGATACAGAGAATAATAGAGACAAAAATAAGGAGATGTGGAAGTGAGAGATATGATATGGAGAGTAGAAAGCAGATCGGTGTCTGCTTAGATTATATGTTGAGGGAATGGGAAGTGAAAGATTGGAAAAAAGAGTGTATAGTTCATATGATAATGATAAGAATGAGAAGGGAAGACTAAGGAATAGAAAGATGGGGTGAAAGATGTACCAAAATTGGGAGTGGACATCCAAGAAGAAGCAGTATGCACGAATGACTAGAGAGTATGGTGTCAAGTGTTTTTTGGGGAAGGAAGTGATAATAGGAAAACAGATTTGGGGCCTTGTTGCAGAAGGGGTTACAGCTACCCTACATTAACAGGAAAAGGCTTGGAAGAGAATACTGCTTTTTTTCCTCTTGATGAAGACCTTAATCCTTATAAAATATCAGGAAGTATCAACTCTGTATATCTCAATCCCTCTAAGGCATTCTTTCTCCCAAGAGATGTTAAAAGAAAATTCATGGAGCTAATTTAGATTTAAGTAGAGAAGATCAATCCCCTGAGTAGTCTCTCTCTCCCTAAAAAAAAAAAAAAGCAAATAACATGTTCAAGCATAATGTACAGGTTTTTTTTAAAGGGAATTAGCCCACTCGGGCACCCGGGCACAGGTTCAACAACCCACAACGGAGCCTAGGGGTTAAAAACATAAGAATAGAAAGAAATTAAAAATAGAAAAGAAAAAAGTTATATTAATCTACACCACAATGAACATACAGGTATGCAGGATTGATAGGTGCAGTAGAGTATTTTTGTGGGATGCATAGTTACAGAGGGATAAGAAAAACAAGTACAGGTACAGTAAACCCTTGTTATTCGCCGGGATTTGGTTCTAAGGAATGGCACGAATAGGCAAATTGGCAAATAGTAACTTATACTATCTCGGTGCAGTACTGCATACCTATTCCAAACAACCGATCAGCTGCGGCAGCACTGATCCCCTTTTAACGTAATTATTAATTCAACTTTCTTTGTCAGGGTCATTACTGACTTCTGCCTTTTCAATTTCACTCCACTGCTGCAGACGTGTGGGGTTTACTCGTTGTGCTGCAGGAGAGGCTTGTAAGATAGCCACCATCTGCTTACTGCAAATAGTTGAAACCACAAATCACAAACCCACGATTAACAAGGGTTTACTGTACCGTACTGCATAGCGAAAGAACAACTTATTCTACTGAAGAGTTATTATTTTTAACAATATGTACAGTAAATACAGTAGACTTTCAATATGTGCGAGGGTAATGTTCTTGTACACCGGGAAGGAGCAGATCATGAATTCATGGAGAAAGAAGTCAATTGGGATGTAAATGTAAAAACTTAGATTGCATTTCAAGGTAAGAGCTTGTAAACATTGAATTTATTTCCTTTCATTTTCATAAAAGGATTTTAAGATATGAAGGGAAAAAATGGGAAGGGGACTAAGTTTTAAAATACAGTACTGTATGGTGTATATTCTCCCCTTAAGTGAACCTGACATCACTCATCTTGTGTTTTCTATAAAATGGGATTTCAGGCTTCTATCATCTGTTTGTTTTATTCTTCTTTTTTTTATTTTTTTTATTTTTTTTACTGGGAATAGCCCACCCGGGCAAAGGTCATTGACCCACAACGGGACCCTAGGGGGGCGAAAAAATAAGAGTAAAAAGAACTCGAAAATAGACAAGAAAATTATTATATTAATCTACACCACAAAGGTGCTGGAAAACCAGCTTTTTGAAGCGAGACAGATTGTATGAGTATGGAACCACAGAAGAAGGCAGAGCATTCCACAGTTTGGCTATGTGAAGAAAGAAGGATGTACTATAACGGGTTATTCTAGTGTAAACTGGATGATGTAATATTAAGATACCAACTGGCAAACAGAGGCAGGTACTGTACATGTAGAGGGTATAAAAATAACAAATGAGAAAAGGTTTAAGATTGCAGCTGTTCAAAACTCTTTTTATAGTACTGGTTATACGGTACATGTTGGTTACTCTTGATGTTTCAAGGGAAATATAAATTTGTGAATAGCATAATTGTTAATGCACAACAAGTGTAAACGGAAAAATTTGAGAATTTATTTTTAAATTGGTTGTACGGAAATACTAGGGAATAGAGTTAAATATATAATTAGTAACAATAAGGAATACTGATCAGAGATGGGAATAAGGGTTACCAGTACATTTGAGAATAAGGAATACCTGGTGGATAGGAATTTGTCACATTCTTCTTTATTTACTAAACAGTGTATATGTTATTCATTGCTAATACATATGAAGGATGAACTTCAATGATTAAAACTTAGAAAATGCCTTATATTTATAGGTTTTCAAACGCCTGTCATATCCTCTGTCATGGATGGAAAGCTTCAACACGGATAAAGACAGCATGGCCCAGAACCAGGCGGCCCACCCATCATCAGCACCACCAGTCAGTACTGTCGGAGGGAATGTTGGCCCAGAGGGACCTGATGGAAACAAAGCAGGAATGTTTTCCAATGTATTCAGTATGTCCAATGTCTCCAGTATGCTGTCCAGGTGAGATTTGTAAAGTTGAATGAATAGATTACAACCAGTTTTATTTAATTTTGTAAAGGGCTTTGCTTCTTAACATGAAGGTATCTGCTAATTTTTGCTAAGGACAATGCATAGAGGTCTTGATTAATGAGGATCATTTTAAAATTTTAAGACATTACCGATGGATATATTAGAGCATAATGTTTTTGACAAAGAGATTTGAATGTGATATTGAAATGCTTTTTATTATTTTGTCTTGATTTTGTAGGAATACAGTATATATAATGTGTATATATATATATATATATATATATATATATATATATATATATATATATATATATATATATATATATATATATATATATATATATATATATATATATATATATATATATATATATCGTGTTATAGAAAATCGCGTAATAGAAATAACAGGGCTTATGGAGAAAATAGGGTTAGGTGCAGATTACTCGAAATCGAAAAAATTTAGTATTTAGCCTAACACAAAGGATAGCACAGTCTAAATAAATGTTACATTCATATCTAATAATGAAATCATACAGTAAATTTAACACTTTACCTTGAAAAAATATGAATGTAACTTGATGGGGGAGAAGGGTGATTTTGAGGTTGATAACATTGAGCTTCTCTTCAAGTGTTATATCCTTTCTTTTACGATAATCACCGGGAATTCTATCATCAGAGCGCCTTTTGGAGATATTCTTCTTTACCATATTCACAGTTAATACCACAAAATTGGAGAAATAGTAAGCAAAAATCGCGTTATAGCAAACAAGCGTTCGCGTTATACAAATATTGTTCCGAATTCATAAATCGCGTTAGAGCAAATTCGCGTTATCAAAATACGCGTTATAGCAGAACTCCCTGTATATATATATATATATATATATATATATATATATATATATATATATATATATATATATATATATATATATATATATATATATATATATATATATATATATATATATATATAGTATATACATATTATATATATATATACTGTATATATATATATATATATATATATATATATATATATATATATATATTATATATATATATATACCTGACCGACTTACATTTGGACTTACGACCGTCGGGACTTACGACCGCCTCAGATAAAAAAAAATTTTTAAATGACACACGCATTTCTATACCGAAAAGTTTCAGTAAATGTAGTCTCCATGTATAATTAATTATAGGGATTGTGCATTCAGCTGACTACATTAAAGGTTATGCTCGTCACACTGTATCCATTCCTATTATTTATTACTTTCACTGTACTGTATCCATTCATCATTATTTATTACTTTTACTGTACTGTAATTCATTGTAGATTTTTATTAAAAAAAAAAAATTTTTTTTTTATATCGGACTTGACCATATCGACTTACGACCTGGATTTGGGTCCTAACTTGTCGTAAGTCGGGGGTTTGATAATATATATATATATATATATATATATATATTATATATATATATATATATATATATATATATATATATATAATATATATATATATAATATATGTATATATATACAGTGACTTCGTTTGAACACCTCGGTTAGCGTATTTGATTAACGAACTGCCTTCCATAGGATCTTCAATTCGGTTAGAAAAATTGGTTAAAGTTCTTATGAACCCGACCTCAACATGTTTTTTATGCTGACCGGGCAACCAGCTTTAGTATCAGTCATAGCCATTAATCGGTTCTAGGGCTTAAATTCCTTACTATTTTAGTAAATATCAAGAAGTTTATACTATTCAATAATTTTAAAAGTTTAATATTCAATTTTTTAGCCATTTTAACAATTATTGAACATAATCAGAAGGTAAAATTCTAGTTTAATGCTCGGCATCCAGCCTCTTAACACAGCAAACAGGATTAGTCTCTCTCTGTTTTCACTGGAAGTAACATCTTGCTTGAGACTCTCTTCAACTAAACGCTTTTTTCTGTGTTTCCAAAGCAAATTATTGGTCATTTGAAATATATTTTACATATTGACATATAATGCAGTGCAGTGTTGATTTAAAGAAAATAATCTTGAATTACCAAGAGGCTAAAATTTTATGGGTGAAATGGCCATGGGGTGACTTCTCTTCCACCAATGCCTTCTCTTCTTCCTTCTCCTCCACCCCATTCTAAATCCCATCATCATCATCATCATCATCATCATCCAGGAGCCTTCTACATACACACCTCAAAGTAAGTGAACTTTTCTACCATTTTGTTGAATTTAGGAAATTTTGAGCTGGAACCAATACCCAAAACCCATTGAAACAATGGTTCGGTTATGTTTCGGTTAACGAACGACCTTCTGGGCAGGTTGAATTCGTTGAGGAGGATGCCAGTAATATATATATATATATATATATATATATATATATATATATATATATATATATATATATATATATATATATATATATATATATATATATATATATATATATATATATATATATATATATATATATATATATATATATATATATATATATATATATATATATATATATATATATATAATGAATAAATGTATGTATGTATGTATGTATGTATGTATGTATGTATGTATGTATGTATGTATGTATGTATGTATGTATGTATGTATGTATGTATGTGTGTGTATGTATGTATGTATGTATACAGTGAACCCTCACTTTACAGATCAATTGAACGCGTTAAGTGAGGATACAGGTATATGAAAAAAGCGCGTTAAGTGAAACTTAGTAGGTAATACTGTGTATATATATATATATATATATATATATATATATATATATATATATATATATATATATATATATATATATATATATATATATATATATATATATATATATATATATATATATATATATATATATATATATATATATATATATATATATATATATATATATAGTGGGTATGTATAGCAGCGGATCACTACGAATATTCTATAGCAAGTAATTGGTTCCAGAACCTGCGTTAGTTATAGGATTAATCCGTTCGGCCCTACAACCACTTAACACTGAAAAAATTCTGTGGAAAATGTAAAAAATACGGAACTTTATCTTACCTTAGTGTTATTCAGCATGCAGGTACTCCTAAACACTGGCACATCACTATCACTTCCACTGGGAGTCTTGGCTTTGGTCCTCAAACAATTGTTTAGCCTTCTCACAAATTATAAGCTTCACTAATGTTACCACCTGCTATTTCTTTCTCCTTTATCCACACTAAGAGTAAATTTTTCTATCTCTTCAATCATTACACCTTGCTTTGCTAAGTCTAAAGATTCCCTTAGCCACTTGCACAGTTTTTAACTCCTCTTTATTCTTCAAATTCGTACATATAGTCGGTTAGCCATCATACATCACTAAGTTTAGCAATGCTTCTTCCATTCTCACGTTTCTTTATAATTTCTTTCTTAGTTTCAAGGGTTATTAGCTTTCTCACCGCTTTGGACAATTCATTGTTACAATTGTACTTGTATAACAAAATAGTTATACAAATATGACTTTCACATCAAAGACGAAATTTCAACAATAACACTGGTGCACTGGCTACACAATGAGACAAAGATGGCGCCTGGCGCTCTTGTTGTGGATTGCGGTACAACAATATTCATCGCCAGGCAGTAGTCCCGTATTCATCGCGTTCGTTGTAGGAGTTGCGTTAGTTATAGCTGGGGTATGCTATAACGAGCGGATCCTACTAGAATATTCTATAACGAACGGTTTTACCTATAAAATTGAGAATGCTATAACCATAACTCCTACAACGGCGGATGAATACGGGACTACTTGCCTGGCGCATGGATATTGTTGTACCTGACTAACAAGCGTCGGCGCCATCTTTGATCTCATTTAGCCAGTGCACCAGTGTTATTGTTGAAATTTCGTCTTTTGATGTGGAAAGTCACGTTATTTGTATAACTATTTTGTTATAATATATAATTGTAACAATGAATTGTCCAAGAGTGAAAGCTAATAACCCTTGAAACTAGAAAGTATAAAGAGATGAGAATGGAAGAAGCATTGAAAACTTAGTGATGTATGGGATGGCTAAATCGACTATATATGCGATTTGAAGAATAAGAGGGTTAAAACTGTGCAAGTGGCTAAGGAATCTAGACTTGGGTGTTGTGTTGGGTGTTTTTTGTGTGGATAAGGAGAAATGCAGTGTAACTTAGTGAAGCTTAGAAGGCTAAACAATTGTTTGAGGACCTAGCCAAGACTCGTGAAGTGAGTGATGTGCAGTGTTTAGAATACCTGCATGCTGAATAATAAGGAAGATAAAGTTCGTATTTTTACATTTTCCACGAATTTGTTCAGTGTTAAGTGGTTGTATTTGGGGCTGGGCAGATTAATCCTATATGAACGAATGCTATAACGAGCAGGTTCTGGAACCAATTACGTTCGTTATAGCATACTCTGTGTATATATATATATATATATATATATATATATATATATATATATATATATATATATATATATATATATATATATATATATATATATATATATATATATATATATATATATATATATATATATATATATATATATATATATTTATATATAAGCTGTGAAAAAAATGCTAAAGCTTTCCATTAGATAGGCAAAAGTCAGCAGATCCAGTTTTGCATCTATAAACAGAATAATTTTTTAGACTTTCACATGTGCACAGTTTTGGATGATGCACTTTTTTGAGATTTGATGAGCATGAAGTAACAACACTGCTATTCTTTCTGGTATTAGATGATAATACAAGGTCTCTATATATAGTACTAATGTAATTGGAGGTGACATTGTGTGTGATATTGATAATACTCCTTCATTAACAGAGAACTGTATTGTATGTTAATCGGAAACCCAGCGTACAGTCGAATGTATCTTACCATTGTTTTTATCATTATGTTCATGTGGGATGTGCATTTGAATGGACAGCTGATATTAACTTTATCAGTTGATTTTAGAAGACAAAATCTTAATAGGATTGTCATAAATCTATTAAATATAAAATATAGAAATTAAAATGGCTGCAGACCAAACCTACTTGTTTAATACATTGCAGGTATCATATACAGGTATTTAGATATTCCCATTATCTGCATGTTGATTAAACATATTTTCTTTGTCCTTGTTGGGCAATGTTAAGAACCAGCAGTTATGACATTCAGTCCACATTTGTAAACTGAATTATTAGCATTCGGCTGTACTCACTTGGTTGAGGTTGATTTTGGTGGACAAATAAGAGGTACTCAACTTAGTTGATGAACTTGAAATGTACTGACTTGTAATTGTTGTAAACATGAATACACTAACATTAACTTGTCCTATTGTTCATTGATAATTTCTATTCACCCAATTTGAATATTACTCATGCAACACTGTTTATGAGTAGGATAAAGTATCTCGTGGTGCATTACTGATATTGAAAGCAACTTTTGCATATTATCCCTTGGTAACAACGCTCAAAAAATGGTCCAACAAGATTTTGTATATGGTTCATGCATTAAGACATGGTTTATTAGTAAATTTTCTTTATCAGAACTAAGGCATGCTTTTTGACTCCTGTGTCTACAATGTAAACACCATTTGTGATCCTCGAACAGATTTTATCGGGTTATAAATATATTATTTTTATTAAAAGGAAACAATTTTCTTGTCATCTAGATAATGATTAGTTTGTTAAAAGTTCTGCTAATTTATAAGTAGCCCAAATATTGATCAGTGTGCAGAAGATATTAGAGCATAAGGTACTGGGCTAATAGTAGCATTAGCTATGGCTTTGGTATTTTGGGGTGAATAACAATTACCGATACCAAAAGATGGTTACTACCTCAGTGTTATTTATTTACACAGCAACCTCCACTTCAATCCTTTAAAAGAATATCCTTCAGCTTCAATTCACTAAGTTTTATATTGAGGATTTTTGCATCATGATAGAGCCCCCTTTACTTATTACATAGTACTGTAGTATTGTCCAGTTTATGTACAGCAAGTCGCTAATTTAAGTTGGTTCTATTTGACAAAATATCCATTACTTGTATAACTTTTTTTTTATGTGGTGAGCACTACAAAGATTCAAATAACGTGCCAGAATTAACGTCATGACACCCTTGTTGACAGCTGACCATTCAAAGTGGTAATGCCTCACCTCAGCCAATGAATTTGCCTCAGCCTCAGTTAAAGTGTTGATTAATATTCCATGATTATTTTTGCACCATTCATTCAAAAGATCCATAACTATGAGTGGAAAATGTTCTGCAAGTACTCCAATAATTACAAATATACAGTAGACGATCATTTTACCGTTGATCGTTTATCTGAGCCAGGGCTTTGCCTTGCTTTATTAATTGAAGCCCATACTTCTATTTAACTGCATTTGGAAGATAATTAATTCTCAAATTTCCCACCGCCGTGCGCTCGGGAAATGTAAGGTGAAGGGTGGGAGTGACGCTGCAATTCTACCGCACGCAGTTTGTCTCACTGTCCATGTCATATGTGGATCTAGGCTACTCGCTTTCATCTTGTAGTGTACTATTGTATAATGATTTTATGGGTTACGAGTTACATAACATTACTGCATATTGTATGATTTGGCTTGGTAAATCTCTGTGTCATGTTCTTTTATAATTTCTCTCTAGTACATTTAGGATTAAACAAAACATGGTGAACCAATGTGAAAAATGTATGATAATTTAATGCAATAAATCTATCTATCTAAACTCAAAAATCAGTACATTTTCAGAATTAAAAGTACTGTATTGTACTGTACAGTAATTTCAAGATTCAACTTCGAATTTGCGATTTTGACCACCTAACATTCCGTTAACTGCTGTCACCCACACAGAGGGCAAGTCAGCTGTTAAGTCCACAACCACACACACTTTAATGTAATAGGTTGGCTTGGCAAATTAACATTAGTCATGTACATATCATTTTTATCATCTACAAGTATTAAGTTTAAATTTTTAATCACACTTTTTTATTGAGTTATTTGGTAGATATAATTAATATAAATATTTATGGAACTTGATGTAGCTACTGAATTTTGGTATTTTAATACATACAAAAATGAAAACAAAGACTTATGAGCTGTATCAAGTGCCATAAATATTTGTAAGCAGGGTACATGTCACCACTTCTAAATGACCACATGCAACCCAGCCACACAGCTCACATGAAAAAGCCAGCCACGACATTAACACCACCACTCCACACCCCTGACAGACAGACATTTATTGAGTTATATGCCTGAAAGGTATTAGTATACTGTAGTTAGCCACTAAACAAGCAGAATTAGAATGATAGTGGTGGTGATACACGGTAAAATGATTGTCTACTGTATATACTGTACCAGGGTTCACACGGTAAAATAAAGTAACCGTCCAGATGGCTCTGATGTATCGGTAATTTGAAACAGTCAATATGACTTGCGTTGTCTTGGTTAGATTGTCAAAATCCTTCATCCATGGTGTCCTATTGTTTCGCACAAAGTGTGGATGCAGTAGATACTTTTTTTTCCATGTGTATATAATATCGGTTTTATTTTAGTAAGTACAAGTACTCATGTATTGACAATCATTTGATTGTCTATTTATATGCATTTCATTTATGTTCTCTATTGATTTGTTTGAAAAATTTCTCCAATATTTAGTAAAGTGAGGCTTAAGTTGGTGTTTGAAAATTTGGCCTGGGAATGTTGCTCTAATAATAATACTTAGCTCTATGGGAAAAAACATGTCTTATTAATGTACACGTTTTAGGAATGCATCCCTACGCAAATCAGCAACTTGTTGAATTGTATGTCTTTGTCACCGAGTCAGCCATTGCGAATCTTGTTGAGAAAGAGAAGAAAGGTTTTGTAAAAAGAATTGGTTTAAAAGGAGATGATCTTTTTGTATGACAGTAAAAAGAATTTATATTACAACAGTGAAGTCTTAGGGGCTCTCTTGTTTGTATGGAATGTAGAATGTTGTGATGTTTCTCTCATATCCTTTATGTGGAGAGCATGAATGTAAATTTACAATAACATTACTTTAATTAAGAATACAGTGTTGTAATTGGCAAAGTTAAATAATTGGAGATTTTTTTTTCTTTTTTTAATAGACATTGCAGACCAAAAGTGGAGCAGTTCTAATCATCTTAACTTGAGAGGCTCTTCTGATATTTGAAAAAGTCATATTTTGACTAGAGAATTTTAGATAGCTAATTTATCTGAATCAAGAATTTACAGTATGTTTTAAGTAATTATATAGATATGATATGTTAATGATGAATGTTCCTGAAAGGCAGTTTTAGATATGGTGTTGCAGTTTCAGGAAAAGCCTAAATATTAATCCCCCTCCCTCCGTCCGTCTTAGTTATCTGCCGGTAATTGTCCCAAAAATATTTTTGCCAACCCCCATTATATTTTTCTCAATTTTTAAAATCATTGAAGAATGATATTAGGAACTCAGTGATCTTATATCATTCAGAATTACTTCTTTCTCTAAGATTACTGATAAAGAGCCATAATGTTTGAAAAATAAATGTACCGTACTGACTGGAATAAGTGTACCCACTTCTTGTCAATGACTTTAGACAGATAAATGAGGAGTACCAATTGCTTAAAGTACTTACAAAAACAATGAACTTAACAACAAACACCACTTACAGAGGAAGTCAATATCTTCTTCCATTATGGGTCTTCTTTAACTATGATTGGTGACCATTTATGATGCTTTCATTAAAAGAGAGTTTTAGGACCAAGTTTGCCTGAATATTGTAGCATTAGTTTAAACACACTTCACTAAGGTCCATTGATGCAATAGTTTGTGTATAATATTAGTGTAATATACTCTTTAAAATCTTTATTTGTATCCCTATGATATTTATAAGTAATAAGTTTTGAAGTAGACATTTTGTCCAGTACACATAATTAGATCAAGGTACATGTAAGTAAGGTTCCTAAATAGCCTTGTTTTTCTGATTTCCAATGAATGGTAGGCTTTTGCATGCTATGAGCAATTTTTAAACTAAACTAATGTCTTGTATGAGGTTCTGTAAGATTAAGCATTAACATCACAAGACTAAATTCTTTTTATACCGTGCTTGTAATTGACATTTGGTTGATTGGTAAATTATCTAAAATACTGTCAAAGCCAGTTGCAGTAAAATGTTAATCATACAAGGCATTTCATATTTTGCAACTGCCTGTAACCCAGGATAGGCTAGCATGGACTTCTGTCTTGTTACTGCAGTTCGCCCAAATACCTGGTTGACTTCAGTAGTGGGCTTTTCGCTCGCTCCCCCTCTGATTCCACGAGCTCCGTGCGGGATGTAACGGAGCTGGGTACCCCCCCAGGTTCACTTGAGGGGTACCGTGTAGCGCACTCTGTTTTTTACCGCAAACAGTCAAGCTTGGGTAATGACAAGGAGGAAAGGAAAGGCATACCTATATTCCATCCAGGGTAAGCAGGGCTTAGGTGTGCCTCAGTGTCTTGGGTTTTCTGTCTTTTTGGCTTATTGCTTTTATGCTTGCTGTCTGATTTTAGCCTGATTTTTGCATGCAACTGCTCTGATCTTTATATTTATGCTGTACTTCTATGGTCCACCCTTATTAAGTGTTTTGTTTTTCAGGCACACCATCCTAAGGGTTAAAAACATAATCTAAACTTTATTTTCTTGAACTTATTGCACCCTTTCCATTTAAAATTTAATGAAATATGTTTGATGACTCTTTCATTCGATATTTCATACAATTTTACATGAATGTTTAGTTATTGGATGTTATAGAAACTCAAAACTTCTTCACTATTTAACCTTTAAATTAATAATTCATTTTTTTTAAAGACAGGGATTATGCCTCTGTTCTTACAACTCTATATTTATTTAATTGTTTGTAACAACAAAATTTGTTGTGATATTGTGAACTCACAATTTATTCAGTGTGCTCCTGATTTCAGCATATCATTGGTATTGAATGTTTACTCACATTCTACATATTTGTAAAACAGCATTTCCATTCCCATACTCAAGGTACAGTACTCATTTGTAATATCAGCTATAGATTATTGATATGAAATATTACAGCAGACTCTCAGTTATCCACACTGTATTTTAAATAACTGCAAACATCAGTCATATAAGGTGTTACAACATGGGCACATTAAGTCAGTCAATCAGCAGTAAGATGATGTCTCTTGCTTCACTGCAAACCACTTTTCTCACTTCAACACAAATTCAATCAGTTTAAAACACTTTTTAACAAATTATAACTCCACTTAGATCTAAACAACTGCTTCCTGGACTACAAGTCAGATGTCATGACGGCCAACACTAGTGACTCGCCAAACACTAGCAGATGACACGCCCATACTGCCATCTCGTGAGATACAGGGGAACTTTCACTTGTCATTAACTGATCACTTTTCTTTGGTTGATGAATGTAGTGTTTCATTTGAAAATACCAAACCGTAAAAACATATTTTTTGAAACAATATAAAATACTCGATACGCTACCCCAATTTCACACTGTGCAGTACGTACTCAGAAATTTTTGTTTCAATTTATTCACGAATATTTAATAATAAAAAAATTTATTTTAATTTGCCCAGAGAAATGGGCATGATGAGTGAGGTGATGGGGGAAACTGCTTCTTGATCTATACTAGACAACCCTGTTTACACCCAGCCCATATCACTTGTATATATTTCCAACAATTTTCAGCTGATGATGGTGATTGGTTATTTGTTCCACTCTATCCATAACTGTATTCCAAACCAGTGTTTACCTAATTCCAATTTATATCTAATTTAAAACCATTGCTGTGCACTCGCTCCTGATTTGATACTTAAATTAATTCAGTTATATCACCTTTATTTAACCCAGACTTCCATATATAGTATACACTTCAGTCATATTGCCCCACACTGTCTCTTGAAGGAAATGCAAATTTTCTTTTCTTATTCTGTCTTTATACTCAAGGTTCCTAATGCCCGGAATTAACTTTGTTATCCTCCCGTAAATGCTTTCTAGGGAATCTATAGCCTTTCAATACTGAGCCTCGGGGTACACCACTTGACGTTACCCCATTCGGATTTTATGCCAATGTTGCTAGCTCTGTACTTCCTGTCTGTTAACTATGCCCTTATCCTATTTATAATTTCCCCTCCGATGACATGTGCCTCCACTTTTGCGAGGGACCCTGTCAATTACATTGCTAAAGTCAAGGTAAACCACATCATAGTAGTGTCCATCATTGACTACAAGTAATTCAAATCAATTAAAAAAATGAAAATAGATTCTTCAGACATGAATACTCACTAGTATAGCCATGCTATTAGTCATTAAAAGAGCTTGTATTTATCAAGGTGATTTTGTATAAAATCTGTGACTACCGTATTACTCCCAATAATTTTCCCACAATTGATGTTAAGCTGATTGGGCAGTAGTTTAGGATAGTGAACTGTCTCCCTTTTGGAAAATCGGTTATTACATTCACTATCCTCCAGGATTCTGGCACAATGCCCCTTTTTGATGGTAAATGGGTATATGGACTGAGTTCTTCCTAACATTCCTTTAATGCTCTAGCAAATAACTCATTGGAATCTGGTGATATGTTAGGTTTAATTTGTCTATTTGCTTACTAACATCGTTAGTAGTCACTATGAATCTCTACTGGTAGTAACTTCCTCAGGGATCATGTTTCAGTCTTAAAAAAAATGAGTGAAAATACAGTGAGTATTTACAATACAGTATTCAAAATATTGCTTATTTTCCCCTCGTTATCAGTTTGGTGGCCTGAATCTGATTGTAGTGGCCCCATTTTCTCCTGGGTTTATCTTAGGCTGATGAATGCAGTACCTGTAGTCCATTTGAAAATATTAAATTATTCTGAGCTTAGAAAACGAGCTTACAAAACAAAACAATGGTTTGATCACACGATAAAAATAATTAGTAATTTATGGTGCCATGAAATAAAGGAAAAAAAAGTAGAGTACAGTACTGTCTAACTGGGAAAACTAGGGTCTACTGTACAAGATATAAGTACTGTAATGTATATAATTCTTAGTGTACAGTACGGTGAAAGGAAACTCGTCTACCCTCCATATCTTGCGGTCAGTCAACCCTACTTATCTCCTGGTCAGTCAACCCTCTTTATCTCCTGTGATCAGTAATGCAGGGACCACACCACCACCTCACTCCAGATTTCCACGCTCCACCAAGCCACCACAAACATAAGTTATGCATTTTGTTTGTGTACCATATATACTGGCATATAAGGTGACTTGACATACTGTACAGAACTGTATTAGACAACCCCAAATTATAAATTTAAACATCAAGTTCTTGGGCTAATTTCACCATAAAAGACAATTGTGAAATATGATCCTTAGTCATATGGTGTAGGTTGTCACCATAGGTGACCAACACAGAAAAAACTTGTAGGCAAGATATTGTCTAGTATTTGCTGGAATCTGCAGCTAGTGCAATTATGTTGCTGTATTGTAAAGACTAGTGACTACCCCAATGATATCATTGTGGCATTGGTTATTTTTTAAGGTGTCTCACCACAGCTGTTTACAGCAATCTTCGGCCCTTGCTACCTCTATACCGTACAGTATTTAGTTCCTTCGATTACAGTCAAATTTATGCTTCATTAGCAGTTGGATAAAAAGAAAAAGTACATGCTTATCAACCGAGTTTTTTCCTACTATAATTAAACACAGCTCAACAACACCATGATAAAATAAAAATATTTTTACATAACAGCTGAGGGATAGATGTGTTAGACGATAAAAGAGGTGGAGGAAGTGATGCGTTGGGTTCTATGGCTGCTGCACTGCCAAGCGCAAGTCATTGGGCTGTATTCAAGATTGTTTTACATGGGCTTTCCTCATGAGGAATCCTCACAATGAAGCTTTGCCCAAGCCATGGGCATTGGTCACATTCTAGGTGGTACATATTGTGGAGTTTGTGTGGGACTTGCTCCAGGTCTGCCAACATAGGAAAAAAGGGAATTTTGGTATGCTGTACATGAGCAACTGATCACATTACTGTTAATTGTGGGCAATAAAAATTAATAAAGATATACTGAATCAATAGAATTATCATATACAATATACTGTATTGTACAAAGTACAAATCTTGTGGTATTTTTTTTCAAGTTGCACATAATCTGCCGAGTCACAGCGCGACGTCTGTTGGTTTACAACCGACCTGCTTGGTCCGAGCGCACTCTCACGTCCACATAAAATCTAAAATTGTACCATGAAGCTTCATTAAAGTTGCTTTCATTGGTACCAGATAACAAAATATGGGGGGGGTCCAGGGGGGCTGGCTAGGTGTGTTACATAAGGTAAGGTAGGTTTCTTTGGTTGATTAGGTCAGGTTCTATTATGTTCGCTATTATTCATTTGTGACAGGAATGTATAGAATGAAAGGTACTCAGAATGATGAGATATGTCTAGAACTGGATGCAAAAATGTTGTGGGACATTATGGGCAACTTTTAAAAATTTGCCAGTCATGTATACTGGTGATGAATGAATTCACTTGAATGTGTGAGGTAGAGTGAAGACTTCAGCCCTGACCGAGGCTAATATGCTACAAGTATTGAACCCTGACCTAGGCAAATATGCTGCAAGTATTGAAATATTTCATTAATTTCATTAATACTGTACATCACCAGTAAAAATATTGACAACTTCATAAAGAGAAATCTTCCTGGATTATGTCAAACAATCCATACTGTAATGTTAGTTATGGGCAATAAAAATAAAGATATACTAAATCAATAGAATTATCAAATGTATCTTCTGTATTAGTGGCAAGTGAGTTCACACACGCGACTGTTTGATTAGAGTAGGCCTAAAGACAACAACAAAATTGGAAGAATATTTCTATAGTAAGACCTTCCTCTATATTTACACTAGATTCATGAATGGGTTTCAAATTTGGCGGTCTGATTTTTGGTAAACAAACGTGAAATATTTTTTGGGGTAGAGTATGAATGTCTAAACGCCATATCTGTCCTTGTCCATCAGCGAAATTCATCACATATGTATGATGATTGTTTTTTTTTACTATACTAGAAGCATTGCAACATATTTGTAATTGTAATTATGTTAATGGTCAACATTGATCTACCCTTACGGCGCCCATCCCCTTCTCACGAAAATTCCAGTAATATCTGTGAGCATTGTTCACGCCATGATCATTCTCCACGCTTCTTGAATGCAAAACATGGGTAATCCCCATAGGGAGATCTCAAGCTAAACAATCTTGAATATAGCCCTTAATCAGCTGTTTATTTGCTTTTACCAACAATAATTAAATGCTGCTCTACAACATGATGTTACAATAAAAATGTTCTAACAATGAAAAATTACATCAAGAAAACTGATAGATGTGTGCATTTCTACATCTTGCTAGTGACACACACACACACACACACACACACACACACACACACACACACACACACACACACATATACATACACACACACACACACACACATACATACATATGTGAACACACGCTCAGGCCTCACAAGTTGCATGACTGCTCCAGACCACCACCACGTGCAGACTTTCCCCTAAAATCGCCCTTCTTAAATGTCCAAAAATAAGTCTATAAAGAGAGAACAATGTGTTGTGAGTATCCACAATTTAAAGAAAGTTGATGGTATCATATGATGATAGGTTCTTTTCATTGTGGCCAATAATTCAAGATGTTCCCAGCACCAGACTAATATACAGTATTGCCATTTGTAGTGATGTTTATGTGCGTGTGTTACACCAGTGACCAATTGCAGGGTTTAAATGCTTTGGACTAGAGTGCATCTAAGTTTATACCATGGTGTTTTGGGTCAGAAATTTTTGGGCTCTTACACATTTCGACTTTAAATGTAAGTTCTTACAGTATGGTTCATCTGCTACCCTTAGCTACCGGTAGCAGTAATTTTTTTTTTAAGACCTTTTGGGTTTTTTATTTTATTATTGACCCGAGCTTTCAGATACAGTACTTGATGTTTTTGGTTATGAGAAAATCATATAAGTACTACTGTATTGTATTTTGTGTATCAAATTGTTGATAGAAAACACATACACTATTCAGCTTTATTGATCATTAACACTCAGAAGCCTTAATTAGAAATACTGTACCCTGTTCTGTACAGTGTATTGGCATCTCTAGAAACAGTGTGTTAGCTGTGGTAAGCTTGTGTGCACAGACCCTTATATGACGGTGTTTGCAGTTATCACCAAAATATGTTACTGAGGATTTCATTTGAAGATCACTTTATACAACACTGAAACTTTGATGTTTACTGCTTTGAGACTGTCCTAACCATCATCAGTTTGTCATTTAATTATCCTTTGTATTTATTTGATAAGGTTTGTGTTTGTACACTGAACATTATATCTTGTGTGGGTTGTTAGTACAGTACAATATTAGAAATGATATACATAATTATTTTTTAGACTCTTTAACATACAATGGACAAGAAACTCATTTTCGATATAAAAAAGCCCCTTTAAGACATTATACCTGTACAGTATATTTAATGTTTATCAGTACAGTAGTTTAAAATTTTGGAATTTCATTACTATGGTTAATCTATTCTTGATTTCCATTTCTCAGGCGGCCATCAATGGACTTTGCAAGGCGACCAACAAACCAACAACCTTTGTTAGTGTCAACCCAACAAACCCCTCCTCTAGCATCAGGCATACCAACACATGCTGTTAATCAGCAATCATCACAGCAACAACAGATCCTAGCTAACACACTGGGATTGATCACAACAGAAAATCAACAAGCACAGAAGAGAGCGCAGTATAAGGAAGGCCCCAAATTTGGTCTCAAGAGTATGGTCAGTATGGATGATATGCCTGAGCTCTTCGCATCATTTGACAGTAAGTAAAAAAATTTTTTTATTCTATTGGTAATTTTGTGAATACGTAGTGAAATAGAGATATTGATAGATCAGTTGAGTACTTAAATTTTAATTGAAAGATGATCTGAATTTTTTTATGAATCTTCTGAATGATTCAGATTGAGGAAAATGTGCAGTTATGAAGCTATGACCAGAAAAATCATTTTGTTGTTTTACTTACTATGAAGTAATTTAGTTGATTGTGATTGTGAATGAACCTCTAGGTAAGATAAACTAATGATGAAATAATTGGTGTTACTTATGGCCTAATGCCCTCCACTTAGTGACTTATATATTATAGCACTAAGTCCCTAAGTTGGAACCTGAGGTACACCCTGAAATGTAAGTGGCCATTACAGGGGTATTTGTTCATTATACTGTACAGTTTAGCATTCCATAACAACACAGTCCCTAAAAGATCTTTAAAATTGAGAATCGCCACTTAAAGCTGAAAGCAATGAGTCATGATGTCACACTGGCATGAGCACATAGTGCCTCTTCTTGGTTCTACAAATTTTCAGTGTTTTTTATTAGCTTTGAGATTTCAGAGATTTTTTTACATCATGTTATAGATGTTTTTATAATTTTGCTAATGGCCAAGTTTGAATTAAATAAGACACATGGAAAAGCTGGACCAATTGACAGGATTTTTTACTTAGACTCGAGGTAAAGGAATCCCCCTAATGTGATCTAAAATAAAAGTTCAGGAATTTATAGTCTGGATGATGGTACAGGTATAGGGGGTTACAGGTATCCCTCTACAGTATATATGAATGTTCAAGATATGAAAATTCACTTATAAGAATTTCTTAAATTATCACCTCTTTTTCATGTTATGAAAGCTTCTCTCACTTATACGAATTAGGGTCCCTGCAAAAATTCAAATCGCACACCCCAAGGAGTCAGCCACATCTTCCTAGCGCTCACCGTATCAGACTGAGTTAGAAGTTATGGTTGTTTTTCAAATTGTAATTTTATAAACATAATTTCTTCATATTTTTTTCATTCAGTTACAAGTCACATTTGACAGTCAATAAGACTGTCAAATTTTGGCTGAGGTGGGTTCGTGGTTTTTTAGCTGATTACTACTCATGTTTGTGTTTTTTAGGGCTGGTTCATAAGTGTGATATCTAATAAATGCATGGATGAAGTCACAATTATGTGAACAACCATGTATGAGAAGAAATCCACAGTGGCAGACAAAATGTTTATTCCAAATAGTTTCATAGGAGTTATAGACAAGGATTGGCACATTCATCACTATTGTTAACCGAATCTATTGTTTCAATGGGATATTGGGTAATTGGTTTCAGCTCACAGAAAAGTACATACAAAGTAAAAAAGAAATGCAGTAAAGTACACTTACTTTGAGGTGTGTATGTAAAAGGTTCCTGGTTGATGATGACGATGGGAATTAGAAGTGAGGTGGAGGAGAAGGGAGAAGAGAAGGAAGTGGGGATGGAGGAGAAATCACCTTTCAGGGAACCATGCTTGATGCAGTCATTTCACCAATAAAATTTTAAGTTCACTAGGTGTAACTCAAGATTATTTTCTTTAAATCAACACTGCACTATATATTATCAATATGTTAACTAATATTCAGAATGACCAATAATTTCAATGAAAAATGCAAAAATATTCAAGACACCAATAAAATAGATGCTCTCTCCACTGTCAACAAAGTCTCAACTGACGCCTTGTGACCGACTCATGCATCTGATGGGTGCACAACAAACTAGTTCCCTGTACTGCATATATTATTAATATGTGAAATTAATGTCAAAAGGACTAATAATTTTAATATAAAACATGCAAAAATATTAAATAGCACAACTTTATTGATATTTACTCCATTGCAAACGAATGTAAACATAGAACAGATTACTGAATGGGCAGACTAGCCCATCAGCTGATGCTCACAACAAAACGTGTTGTTTGAAAGGATTTCGTTAACCGAATTGAAGATTCTTATGGCAGGTAATTCGTTAACCGAACCGTTCGTTAACCGAGGGACCGCTGTATTTGGGTCCCCCCTGTACAGTATATATACGTATTACCCCTTTTTTACACTAAGGTAACCAACACACAACTTCAGAGTTCGAGTCACCACTCCTTAGTAAGTCCAATATCTTGATATTTTCTTCAAAAGATCTCACAGTATGCACTTTTTTCTTTTTCTCACTCACCACCACAAGCATTGCCACTAATTTTCCTCGTAGGGGCCTTGATTTCGGTAAAATTCACCACTAAAGAAAAACTTTATGAGCTCGAATGCCTGGGAGATGTTCACGGAACCAGAAGAATGCCTTGGCAATTTAACCTAAAGTACCATACAAACACCATAAAATGTACAAGTGGACACAGATATTACACCTATGGTACCATATGAACACTTTAAATGTACAAACAAACACTCAAACCATCCTCTGGGAGTCTTGACACAGTTCTGCCAGGCAGTCACTCAGCTGACTCAGAGATTTGTCTAGCTGCTGCTACTCTATGCTGTGTGTATGCTGTGATATCACTTAGGGGAAAGGAGAGTGTGGCTGGGTGACTAATCGGCGACATAATTACAGCTCACTGCCTCAAAACATAAGTTTACTTCACACACATACACACCCATGCTCTTCATTTTTCTCATTTATTATTTTTTTTTTACAGTACAGTAATCTCCCTGTTATTCAGAACAATTGGTGCAGAACTCTTCCGGGAATGAGAGAATTCCAGGTAATGAGACAAGTCTCTCAAACCCGAAAAAAATCCCACATCCCCGGATTTTCTCCGGATCTTGGGAAAAGTTTCCGAAAGTCTTAAACTACATTATGCATCTCTCACGGACAGACACTATTCCACATCCTTGAAATGTCCACATCCTTGAAATGTTTTTAGGTGCTGGGGAAAGTTTTCTGAGAGTCTAAATTACCCATCTTATCTCTAAACTACACATCTCATCTTGCATGGACAAATACTCTCCCATTACATTTAGGCGACGATGGGCATGAGGGAAAATACAGTATTTACAACTCGCAAAAAAAGTGTAGAAACTTTTACTCAAAACAGTGTTTTAATTGTGTTAGAGAGATGATTTTGATATATTGATTCTTTATACAGTTTAGTCTCGGTTTACGCGTATTTGGTTTACGCGGCACCTTGCCAGACCGACAATTTTTATTTACGCGGGAAGCGGTGCGCACAAGGTCGCCCAGTCATCAAAACATTACCGAGTTCTTCACCTGCCACCCACCGCAGCCGGCTCAAGTCCGTGATAGTGAGGATATGGACTTTGAGGGGTTTGACAAAGAGGCCCTGCAAGCCTCTGTGGTGGATAGTGATACAATTGATACAAGTGATACAGGTAAGGGCCAATAATCTGCCCTCTGCCTCAAAACCAACCCCAATCCCCGTGTACCCAGCCATCTCTTCTACTAAGTAAGTGTTAAAAAAACCTAATTTTACAAGGTATTGATATTTCTCTTAAATATTAATTGTGTGTGCATACCATCATAAAATTAAGATGTTATTTTTACTACAACGTAAGTAACGTATTGTGTCTGGGTGAAGTATGATTTGTTTATTTACTGAAGATATTTGTTTTTAGCTCATAAAATTCATAGAAATTACCCGGCCAGAATATAATTTACATTGCTGGAATTCTTATAAGATAGTGATTAATTTGAATATAAACAAGCTAAAATTTGCATTAGACATACAAATTTTAGATCTCATTTAAGAATTTTATTAGAGAGCAAAAAATTTATCTTTTGTGCAAAATATATGACGCTTATATTCAAATTATTTGCAGTCTTGCAAGGAATCCAGCAATGCCAATTACATTATCCTAACCATAGTGTGAAGTATTATTTATTACTAAACCTAAAAACCTAGTGTTTTCACCCAAACATTTCTCAGGGAGGGAGGAGAGCCAGTGAGCGTGGGAAGAGGGTGGGGGGGGGAGGTTGAGTCCATTATTTGAATGGACATTCTGCTGACTGTATTTCTCTTAAATATTAATTGTGTGTGCATACCATCATAAAATTAAGATGTTATTTTACTACAACGTACCATTGTGTCGGAAAAAGTGTAGTTTGGGGTTGATCTCTATTTCAATTAATCCCATATGTTCTGTTATTTAGATTAGCGTTTCTCGTTTACTTGGACTTCCACGGTTCAGTTGACCGCCTAAATAGAAGACTATACTGTATTGTATATTGTATATATATATATATATATATATATATATATATATATATATATATATATATATATATATATATATATATATATATATATATATATATATATATATATATATATATATATATATATATATATATATATATATATATATATATATATATATATATATATATATATATATATATATATATATATATATATGGATAGTGTGTATATATTTTCTAATCGTGTTTGGAGTCCTGGCGTTAGTTTGATGCACTGTGTGCTGTGAGTAATTCGTTTGTAATTCCTTTTGAAATGGCTGTAGCGTGGCGAGTTCTCGTGGTTCTGTGAAGAAAAAGGACACCCATTTTAGGCTTTCTATGTGTTATTTTTGGTTTTTCGACTTACGACCTGGTAGTGGGGATGGAGACAGTCGTTATGTCGGGGGAGGCTGTGTATATATACAGTCATTTAAAGTGCCACCTCCACCCATCTTTTAGGTGGCTTCATATTGTGCTAGTTGCCTCGTGGAGGGTGTTAGGCCATAAATGAAGGATTGATGCTGTAAACCCATTTTATGTCCCAAGTCCATAAATATATGCAGGTATACCCCATACTGTATCGGTGATCTTCCATCTTCCCAGAAACAGCATGGAAGTTGACTGGAATGCAATGAAGCCTGGAATTCTTCTGTGACTGGCCAGTTGACAGTCGTGATGCTCACTGACCAGTGTGATGCCATAACTCATTTCCTTTCTAAAATAGTGAGACTGTCTAAAACTCTTGGGGACAGGTTTGTGATTTAAAACTTAAGTACAGGGTCCCCGGTCCTGGAGTTCACCGGAGGTTCGTTCTGAGGATGTTAAGTCGAATTGTCGTATTCAGAACACATGTTATTGTATACCGTACTTACAGAACAATGTTTAAATCTTTTTCTATATCATTTAAGTCCTTATGTGCATCTAAATCATTTAATTTAAGATAAAAAGAAGGGGTTGAATAACAATATATTGGAGGATGAAATCATGGATAATTCTAATACAATGTCTCTTCAAAATGTCCAGATTCATAATTTCCGTGTTACAATACATTTAAGATGTTGCATTAATGAAGTGAATTTGAAGTAGAAACCCCCATAGGGTTTTTGTAATCATTTATTCACAGATGTCTTATGTACAGCAGTACAGCGTGATACGGATGGCTGTCACTGGTGCCATGAGGACAGGGACGTGTTTGATCAAATAGATAAAGGCGGTTACAGGGGGGGGTTTCATTTCAGGTTCACTCTCAATGTACATCTTAAATGTGTTGTTGTAGAAGCTTATGCTGGAATTTGACTTTTCTGCGATAGAGACATTGTGGTTTAAATTATCAAGATTCCATCCTCAATTATCTTACTCTTTGCTGAATCCTCCTGTATATTTCAAGTTTAACCCATTCGTATCGGCGGGCGTAAGTAAGTCGGATTTTCTAAGTCGGGGACCCCTTGGAATTAATGATTTAGACCCAGTTACCAATCTCGAAAGTGTACCTGGGTTTCCGGCCCATAGACTTGGTATTCTGATAGTTAGTATATGTCACTTTCTTACATGTTCTGTAAGGAAATAGGAATTCAAGATTGATCCTTCATTTTTTCAGGAAATAGTGAAAATTAATATTAGAAGTCAAATAATGTGCTGCATTGCTAATATCTCTGTTGTATTTTGTCCGTTACATATTATTTTTGTGCTCATCCATGTGATTTGACAAAGTTCACAGTTTAAGGAAGGAGCACCATTTCCTTGCTTACATGCATTTTTTATCTGGTGGCAAATTGGTTTATGAGCATGATGTCACAGATAAGCAGTTTTGTGTGGCTATAAAATATATTCTTAAAGTCGTGCTGTAAAAGGTATACAATGTACAACAAGCAGAGGGTCTGCACTTAGTACTAAACTAACAGGCATATCTTTCTTTTTGACTAGTTCTAGCTCCACACTTCCCATCCCTACATGAGTTGGGTAGGTGTCTTAGCCATCATCACCACCAACAAGCTTTTGCCAAGCAGTGTAATGTTGCAGTGTTCATTAAATCTTCAATGTCTTAGTCAGACTACCTTTTAAAATAGCATGAGTTAAACTTAATTTGCCTGATGAAACATGTAC